TAAATTTTAAGCCACTTTCAAGCTCAACATCAAATCCATAATATATAAAAAAAAAATAGGAAACTAATAAAATTAGTCGCGCAAATTGTAGGTACTTAGGGGATCCCCAAACTAATGCCAGTTTTCATAAAACCCCTCCCTGCAACTCCGTGACATTCATTATCCATCGCTCGGTTGTTCGGTTGCCCCAACTGCCTCATTATACTCGCTTTGTGCCCCCAAACTGCATTGAAAATTCAACAAAATGCCCGAATAAAAGGCAAAGCGGCTGCCCCGCAATTTTCGCATTTGATTTAACTGTGAATGTATTTATTAAATAAATTATTCATGGCCGGGGTGAGTGCACTTCGCCATGCGAATGTGCTGTGGCTGACCTAAACATGTCCTGGCCGCAGGATCGCCGTCACCGTTGCACAGCACAGGATGTGTGTGTGTGTGGAATTTGGGGGGAGGAGAGTTAAAGGATAAGGGAAGGGGGAGGAAGCAGGAAAGGAGGAGGTCCTGCGTTCCGTTTGCCACTGTAATTAGTTGTGGTGGAATAATCGCATGCGACCGGCGACATTTCTCTGTGGCAAGGAATGTTCGCTGGTTTCGGTTGTCCACTTTCCACTCTTCCTCTTTCCACTTTCCCGCTTTCCGTGTCCCTGTGTTTTCCGGCTCTCCCCCGCCCAGTGTCCTTCGGGGATGAGGAAGTGTGTGGGTCAAAGGACCGTGATCTGTGGGCGGTGGTAATGGCATAAATTCGGAATGAGTCCCTACGAATTTACCATAATAATAGGGGGTGTGTGTAGAATGGAGTGTGCGTGTGTGTGTGCGTGTGGAGGACGTGAATGTGGATGGAAACATGTGTTTATGTGTACAATAATGGGCGGGCACCACTTGTGGTCAGAGTGGTGCGGTGCGGGCAGTTTGGTGGTGCTTGCTGCATTTTGGCCTTTCTCGGAATCGGTGACATTTTAATTTACCCAAGCGAGAAAACCAATTTTGTTGCAATGAACCAAAATGCAAAATGTGACAAATGCCACAGCAGCAAATGCAATAACAACAACAACAACAAGTGCCGCATTGTTTTCTGTGCATAATTTATTCAACATTTATTTATTGGCAGTTATGATTTGCATTATGTGGTGGCTGTCAAGGGCTTTTCGGGGCAGCAGGATTGCCAGGATAGCAGGGCAGCCAGGCTTGCCAGGGCAGGAAAGCCGGTGGAGTCGGTCTGAGGTTCACTTAATTGACTTTACAAAATTACATTTGCATTTGACCAAATTAACTGAAATGAATAAGCCCCCTGCAGTTGCTTCCCTGGCTTCTGATTGCAGCTAATAAATGAGTTATAAATCAATGGATATGAGATTTCAAATTCGTATCCCTTGTGGAGAAGGTTCGTGCTTGGTTTTCTGCTGTGCAGGAGTTCCAAATTCAGGGGATTATAGATGGACGGGTTATTGAAATGATAATTAGATGGGGGATTTAAGGATATATTGAAAAATACTATATATAATTAAGAAAAAGATTAGAAATAGGAGGTTTAGAAATAGTTAAGAAAGGAGTAACTAAACCATTATTAATTATTATAGTTTCTTCAATATAAGTAGGATTTTTAAGTAGGATTTTTAAAAATAGTTAAGAAAGGGAACTAACCCATTGGAGCTTTATATTAATTCTACCTTGTAAAGTTTATATATACTTTTGTTTGTTGATCTACAAAGAATCTTCATATGCAGTCAAATCTATTAGATATTCTTTGTGTGGATATTTAAGAGTCTGAATATCAGGATATAAAACATTTCAAGTTATTTAATTTCCGTAGGCGGGGCTTAAATCCCCAAGATGACTGACCCTTTTTCTGTGCTAGTAAAATTGCACTTTTAGATCCGGCTGGCGATTCCCTCCACATTCCTGTAAACCCCGCGAGTTGCAATTCAGCGTGATGGACTATTCCAGATTCCTGAGCGCTTTATGGGGCACTATCATGGGGGCCCAAAAAAGAGCTCGCCATGCCATGCCATATATATCCGCACCTCGAATGGATGGCAACCGGGAGTCCGGAGTCCGGGAGTCGAGACTTGCGGTGCTCTCGTGTCAGTGCGCTGATTAAATTCGGCAAATATCGCTGATGCCAGCAAATCGCCGCTCAATGCGAAGGCAGCCTCTCTATACCTCCTCTCTGTATATATATATTACACACACAAGTGTATGTGTGTGTGTGCGGGTGTTTGCTGCAGGGTGTGGCATCTGAGTCAGGTTAGGAACTAGAACTGGGATCTGGGATCTGGGCTTTCGGCTCTGGGCTCTGGGGTCTGGGACCATGTTGAAGTACACAAAACCCAGGCAAACAAACAGGCATTTCATGGCAAACAACATAGCGGCAAAGGGAAATGAAGGAGGAGGGTTACGAGGGAGGGACTCGACTCTAGTTTTCCCCAGCACTACATTGGGTGGTTCGGGGTGCGCATTTCCATACTACCTTCCATGGAGAACCCCCTCCAACCCCGCTTTAACCCCCTTTTAACCCCTCCCCTCGTTTTGGATGGAGCCCACAGGCTGAGTTGGGCAAACTGGCAAATACGGCCAGCCACGTCAACGTTGGCATCATCGTCATCGGCATCGAGGAGCTTTGTTTGGTTTGTCCAAGGGGATGGCTGGGGTTCCGGGTTCCTAGATATGGGGTTTTTCACCAACCAACCAACAGAAAACCCCCCTTTCCCCCACTAAAAACAACAACAAGAAGAACAACAACCTGCTCCCAACTCATTCGCATTCGCAGTCGTCGGCATTTTATTGTTCTAGTCGTCGACATCGATGTTGGTACTGCAGTTTCGGGCATTATTTCGGTTTAGTTTGGTAAATACACATGCAGCAAAAGCAGCAGCAGTGGCAGCAGCAACCCGGCAGCAGCACATGCACATGCACATTTTCGCTCCCATTTCCCCATTTCCATGTCCAGGCCAACCATACATACTATACCAGTTCCCAGGTTCCCAGTTTTCCTTCAACCCCACTTTCATAAACGACACAAAACGCTCTAAACCATGAGCTTATGCAGCAGACGTTATCATGATGTTCTACTAGTCGAAACTGTTGATGTTGATGATGATGATCATAATGATGATGACTTAGATGATGATGATAACTTAGATGATGATGAGGGTGAAGCCAGTGATGCAGCTGCACTCCTCGTTGCATTTTTCCTTCATTTAATGAAAGCTCTCTGTGAAAGAAGAAGTGAACTGCCTGCCGATTCCACTCGGATGGAAGGCCAGTAAATAAATGAAATCCAAAGCAGAACTGAGGCTGCCAAGGTGATAATATTTACCCAGCCACAAAACTATTTTTTCTCTCTCTCGTATTTTTGAGTTGAATTGTTGATTTTCACAAAAATCCGAAATATTTGTGTGCGTGTGCAGCTCACTCGAAGCGAAACAGTTTCTAGTCGTTAGAGTTCTTCTACTACGAGTATTCCCCCTTGGTGATTCCAGTGCCCCGGAAAAACCACTTCCAGTGCGAGTTTCCATTTGAGACAGAGAGCCAGCTTTAAGGTCCACAAAAGGACCTGCTAGCCAGCGAAATGGTTTTCAAAATACATGCCGTGCCGGCCTCATAACATCGTTGTCGTCCTCGATGTCGTTGCAAATTCCATTCGGCATTGAATGCGAGTGGAGAGTGGAGATGGTGTTGCAGGAACAGCAGGCAGAAGTGGCAGAAGGAGTGGCAGGACTGGCCAGGAGTTCCCTGCTCCCGGTTCGGCGACCTGAAAGGGGCGGACCCCTCGGGCGAGGAGGCGAGGCGAGGCGAGGGGGGCGTGGCTGTCATATCTGAAAGCAATTTCGAAGCGGGCAACCCGAAAACGAGTAACAAGAATCGATAAATTCGTTGGGCGTGCAATTTGCGCCGTGCGGAAAGGAGGCGCCTCAAAGGAAAAGTGGGAACCGAAAGAGGAGTAGCAGCAGGTGGAGCAGGATGAGTACTGCGTAGGTGAAATGCTCCCACTACCTCCATCCCATCCCTTTTCTTGCTTACCCATTCCATCCCATTTCGATTCGCATGCCTGAGTGGACCATGTCCGAAATTCAAGTTTCAGGCCTTCGACATTTGCATTCAACCAGCGTCAACCTGCTGGCCATCGAGTGACTGCTCTTGTTCTGGCTTCTGCATCTCGATGGTGGTGCTGATGGTGGTGGTGTTGTAGGCGGTGGTGTAGGTGGTGCTGGTGGTGGCACCCTCTTTCCCCTCTTTTATCCCCATGTGATACAACAGCGGGGGAGGGGGTAAATCCACCTTGTCGCCTGACTATGCAAATTGCCGCAAATGCAACGAGGCGTATGCGCAATTTTTGCCCGTCACACAACTCGCGGACATCAATCAGATATTAGCAGAGGAAATTCGAACGAGCACACACTCGCAGTCCACCAGTGCATGGACCATCTGCCATCTGCCTTATCCTCTCCGATTCCCTGGGAATCTGGTGTTGTTTCGAATTACAGAATCGGAGGTCTGAATAATCGGGTCTTCCCGATGCAAATTCCCTCACGCAAAGGGCATTGCTTAAAAATCTTTTGAAGAATAAGGGTTTTGTGAAGCATTTCAAGCACTTTAATACACTACAGTAATTTTTCATTCGAAGGTTTTCGATCTTAATTGAGCTTTATTTATATTATAAAACAATAAAAAAGTTTAAATACTAAACAATGACCAGTAAAAGAAACAGAAGTAACGATTTAAAATCATTCCTTTACACTTTTTTGTTTGCTGTAAATTTTAAAGCAGAATTTTAAAAATATTGACTTAGTTGAATAACTTTTTCTATCATTACTTTTAAATAGAGCTTTTATGGTTAAAAATTAATGTTGTTATGTTCTCTAAGTTAAAGGTCCACGTTTTTTTAACAGCGGGGAATTAACTTTAAGAGTTAGTTACTAGAGGTAGTTTTTAGTATAAGAGTTCAGTGATGATATTGCCAAAACAGTTCGACTAACCAAGTGTTAATGTTTACCTTGCAGTACCGCCAAAAGCTGGACAGAAGCGACCGGCCACGAGTCCCGCTCCGCACATCCCGGTGCCGCACCACCTGCAGACGCCACCTGGCGGCGGCGGTGGCGGCTTGCCGGGCTCCTCGGTGGCCAACAGCCCGGTGCCCACGTCCGCCGGCGGCAACGCCCTGATGAACCACGCCCTGCCCAGCAACCACATCGGCACTCCGTCGCCGTCGCAACACCAGCAGCACCAGCAGCACCAACAGCAGCAGCAGCAGCAGCATCAGGCGCAACAGCAGGCGGTGGCTGCTGCAGTGCAGCAGCAACTGGCGGCCGGAGTGGGTCTGCCACCGGGAGCAATTGGCGCCGCATCGGCCAGTAGTCGGGGATCCTTTGCAGCGGCGCTGCGAACGCTGGCCAAGCAGGCGGACAACAAGGAGGAGGAAGTGGCTGGCGATAGGAGTGGTGTGCCCACCTCGGGAGCAGGAGGACCACCCCCGCCGTCGTCGTCATCGAATCAGGGAGGTCTCAATTCGGTGGCAAATCGTGTGGGCTCGGAGCGACCTGGCGAGGATCGGGTGTCGAGCAACAAGAAGCGTTCGCCGCCGTCGCCACAGCCGCCGGAGAAGATCGCCCGACTGAGTCACACGCCGCAAACGGCGTCGCTGCAACCGGAATTGCTGGCCCGCAGTGGATTCCAACCATACAGATCGGATGAGCGACTGATGCATCCGGCGGGCGCCTTTCCCCTGGAGGCGTACTCGCATTTCGCGGGATTGCCAGGGATTCCACCAGCAGGTAAGTGAAATCTTATAGGAAATATATTCTCCAGCAATTACTAATCTTTTCTCGTTTTAGCCTTTCTGAATCCCGCTGGTTTGCCGTATACGGAGCAGCTGTACCTGGAGCATCGCTACCAACTGTTCCGCGCCGCCGGCGCTCATCCCTCGCATCCGCATGCGGCCGCCTTGTATCCGCAGATGGCCTCGCCCTACTCCCACCTGTACTCGATGATGCCCGGAGCAGCGTTGGGCATTTCCCCAGCGATGCACGATCGGATGAAGCTGGAGGAGGAGCACAGGGCGCGACTGGCGAGGGAGGAGGAGCGGGAAAGGGAGATGCAACGGGAGAAGGAGCGGGAGTTGCGGGAGCAAAGGGAGAAGGAGCAGCGGGAGAAGGAGCAGCGCGAGAAGGAGCAGCGCGAACGGGAGCAGCGGGAAAAGGAGCAGCGGGAGAAGGAGGCGAGGGAGCGGAAGCTGAGGGACGAGGAACGCGAGCGGGAACGGGAACGCCAGCTGCTGAATGCCTCGCACCACTACTCCAACCAGCTGTACTCCCCACTCAATCGCAATCTGCTGGGCTCCATGATCCCGCATCTGAACATGAGCTTGCGTGGACCTCCGGGAGCACTGCATGGTCTTCCCGGAATGTCGCACTATCATGCAGCGGCGGCAAATGCCCAACGGCAGAGTCCCCATGGAGCAATGGGTCTCAATCTTGGAATGGCTGGACTGCCGGGAGTGGGTGTGCCTCCCCTTGGCGGTCATGGTCCCAATTTGCAGCACCATCTGCAGCAGGCGGCCATGGGATTGGCCCATCCCGGGGCAGCTGGACTCACGCATCCTGGTTTCTCGGCGGCTGCCCTCGGATTGAGTGCCCATCCGCACAGTCTGAACCTGAGTCACCCGCACATGTCGCCGCATCATCCCGCCTCGCTGGCCCACCAATTGCCACCGCACACTTCTTCGGCGGGAGGAGGTGGCTTGAGCAACTCCATTCCCGTGACAGCAAGCTCCAGTTTATCGGCGTCTTCACCGCACAGCAGTTTGAACCTCACGGCAGCTGTGAAACTGAGTGCAGATCAGGTGCCCACCTCGACGCCCAGTGGAGGAGTCTCTGGAAGTGGATTGCCTCCTACAACCTCCAGTTCGCACATTCCCAACATGGGTCACTACTACCACCACGGACACCTGGCTGCCATGCATGCAGCTGCGGCGGCAGCGAGTGGAATGACGCCAACGGCTGCCCACCAACAGCAGCCTCTTTCGCTGCCCAGTTCGCCCAAGATCACGCCTCCAATCACACCATCTTCCTCTGCCAATGGCGGCAGAGCAGGCGGTAGCCCCCATGCCATGAGGCACCACATTGCCGCAGCTGTGGCGGCAGCGGCTCAGCAATCAGCGCTGATCGACAAGGCAGCCACGCCGGTGAACCACGAACCGACCACCTTGGATCTGACTGGATCGAACTCGAACTCCAGCAACCAGGCGCCATCGAATGCCAGCAGTGGCCAGCCGGCCAATCACGAGATAAACGGAGCCGAATCCAATGGAGCATCGCAGGGAGAGAGCAAGGAGCAGGTGGCGGCGATCAAAGAGGATCCCCTGAAGAGTTCTCCGCCACCAGTGGCGCTGGAAAAGAAGCCAGCCACCCCGAATGCGGCTGTGGATAAGCCCATTCATCCGGACAGCTCGCCGGAGAACATTTCGCGTCGCAGTGCGAGTCCACCAACGGAGACGAACAACTCGATGCCAGCGGTTGTGGGAACGGCAGTAGCATCAGGTAAATGCAAAGAGGAGAACCCAAAGATTCTAGACACGGACACGACTGCCGCCACCAAGACAGAAATCGAGGAGGAGAAACTGCGGAATGCCAGGTTGTCGGTGTCGCCGGCACCAGCTCCATTGGCAGCTCCACCCAAGAACCTTTCCGCCTCGCCGGACACCGTGTCCACCTCCGGCGGAGTGACCTCCACCACCAGTGGCACCACTCCGCCGCCGGTGGTCAGCAGCAGCACCAGTGGTGCAGCCACAAAGGCTGCGATCCTGACCAGCGACGAGGTGTCCACCAGTGCCGCCACGCCCGCTGGCGAAGCCACCAGATGATGCACGACCGCGTTCCCCTGGCGGGAGTGGGTCGCTTAGGTTTAAGTTTAAAAAAAAAGAAGATGAAAAGAGTCGCCTCGGATCGGAACTAGTTAACATCTACCTTCAGTAACATTTAACTAAGCGATAATTTAGTTGTTAGTCGAGCATCTTTATTTATACAAGAATTTGTAATGTATTGCCAGCGCCGCCTAGATCCAATTCTAAATGTTTTTAATCCTTAGTTATTATTATTATTTCCCTATTTAAATGTGAAGCGTATACTTTAGAAATGGCCTGAATAAATCATTTTTGTTTACAATTATTTGCCTTACACTTATTATTTCGCTTTGGTTTTCCGATTCCCAAAAAGGTAAACTCCCCAGTAAAGTTTTCCAACTAAAGTGGCGAACCTCGTTTCCGTTTTAGATGACAGCAAACCGCAGTTGGGCGGACTGGGTCGCAGCAACAGCGCGGAGGAGGCAACAGCCTTATGACACCAACTCTTCAGCAATTCCAACAACTAACTAATGAAAAACTACAGCGACATTGGGATGTACTTGCTGTCGGAGCGAGCTCTTCACCAGCAGCGGAAACGGATGCTCGACGAGTTCCTGAAGCTCTAGGAGGAGGGTCCTGGACAATCGGGAATTGATGGCCAAAGGACGACAGCACCTAGCCACAATATAAAATACCATGTAAATTCCATAACAGATATCAGATATTTGTTTGTTCTCGATGTTACAATCTAACGTTTACCCAACCAGTTGAATACAATTCTAACGCAATTAGACATTTTGAATTGGTGTAAAAATCTTATCTACATAAAATGTAAATTATTGTGACATATTCCAAGTAAAATAGTTACTCTCGAAAGAAGGGCTATTCGTAAGATTTTAGGTACGTACTTGCATAGAACTCTGGATGTAGTTTTCGTGTGGAAATGTTCATGGCCCGAGAAAAAGTAATGCTAGGTGTAAAGTTAGACTAAACATTCTGATAAGAAATTTATATATACACAACAGAAACGGAAATTATACAAAAAACATACTGGGTAGCTATATTTTATTCTTAAATTGCTAATAATTGTGATTTGGAGAGTACGAACAAACACGGAAAACGTATGAACATGTAACTCGAATACAAAGTGGGGGAAAACGGAACTGAAATTTAGATAACAAATCAAATCAAAAACCTAGAGAGATATTCTGGAGTGGATCAGTAGAGAACAGCGAAGGAATGAAATTATTTTTCGAAATTAATCAACTTTTGTACGCCTCCCTTTGGCCCTTTTGCGATATGTTTTTATGATTTCGAATATTTTACACGAAAAACCCAAAGTGCAGAAATCGGGAAAAGCAATCTTCAGAAAACACATAACCAAACACAAGCTAGCAAATGGTGGTACTACTAACAAACGTACTTTTCCACACTACAATTGATGTTTATAGTAAGTAGTCAATACCCTAAAACCAACAAACTCTCAAAGATATAGATCTAGTTTCCATTCCCGTTTCCAGTCTTTGCCCTTCTATCTTGCCTCCCAGTTTTCCTTTGTGTTTGAGATTGCCTAACTTTTGACGATATGTGAAGTAACAATTTATATATATTTTAATGCATAAATCTCGAGCAATCTGTGATATTATAAAAAAAAAAATTAAAAACCAAACCGAAACTCAAAAATCATTGCGTATGAGCCTCAAGCTATGGCCATTTGAGACCCTACACTATAGATTCAACTTGTTTTCGAAGCAGGATAGCTCAGAATATTGAGGTGTCCTCAAGGCTTCGACGATTCCGTACAAATTCCGCCATATGCAAGTCGACTTTTCCTTTTGACAAAAACTATGTGTATGTACCAGTAAAACTGAAAATGAATATATTTTAATAACTAATCGTAATAGATTCTTGAAAGACACACAGATAACTGAAATCGATTGGCGCGCATCTAGTAACGTAACCACAAATGCCGTGCGATAGCTAATCAACTACTGCAAAATAGTTTCAAATACAACCTTAACAAAAGAAACCAAATCGATCGTAAATTAAATGTACTGTAACTCCCCCTCAATCTTCGTTGTGTGTGTATACAGAATACAAAGTGTAAAACATTAAACTGTAAGCTAACCGAAACGCAATCGAATCCGAAAACCAATTACAAAAGTACACAGATACAACAGCTACCGAAAACCAATAGCAATAGACATATGGAGAAGCACTTAGGTCTGTCTGAAAATGAATTGAAAATACCACTTAAAATTTATATGGCTTAAAAAGTTTCGAATTCAGGAGACAGACGAGTGCTTCTTTCTCAGATCTTCACACGACCACAGCATATAGTTGGGTATATATCAAATCACTTGAGCCAACAATTCGCGCAGCAAATTAAATATGTACGAATGTTCAACCATGTGGCAAACGATATGCGAAACAAACATTTAAACAATATTGTGCAACTTTACATAAGGCATTTATGATTTTATGAAATAAACTCTACTTAAGGATATACATCAAGCCTTTTATTGAGATGGAGTTAATAAGGGAAGGTATTATTCCAATGGAAACTAAATAAAAATTGTTGTACAATATAACATTTTTCTAACCTTGCAGAGCGTATGTAGTCAGTCAACATATTCAACCAAACCACACTTTGAAATACCAGGCGAACAGAATGCAATAATAGGTGCCGAGGCTAGCTTTCTTTCTTGATTATTATCCATAAACAATTGATTTTATATTTACAAAATATGCACAAGTAAACTATACTTTTGCAACCTCCGCTTTCTTAACGTACTTAAGTATCCTAACAATTGTCGAAGGAGTTACTCCTTGAATCCTACTGGCCGCTGCAATGGTTTGAGGCTGGATGAGCGTGAGCTTTTGTCGCTCCTCGTTGGACAAACTCAGGGACTTGGAAAAGTAGTCAATGTCGGCAGGAATGGACAAACGCTCCTCACGACGAACATCTTCTACATCCCGCTGCTGCTCATCCACAAAGAATGAATAAAGGGCCTCGATTTTCAGCCTTTCGGCCAAGTTGCGTTCGCCTTTTAGCCAGCTTAGTTCACTAGGATGCAGTTGAATTAGCTGATCCACTGTGATGTTGTCCGCTGGAATGCCTAGCATGTCAAAGGCAGTTTTCTCCACCGAAGCCTTGGACTTGGGAAGATCGAGTGCCTGCCGCCAGTAATGAGTGTGCTTCCTTAATCCTCTTAAGATTTGAATTGCAGATTGTAATCTCTCTTCGGTTTGCTGGAAATGCTGGTAGCGATGTGGAGATACAAGACCAAAATCGAATCCTTTTTGGGTGAGCCGCATGTCGGCATTGTCCGGACGAAGCGACAACCGGAACTCCGCTCGGCTAGTAAACATGCGATAGGGTTCGTTGGTACCCAGAGATGTCAGGTCATCGATCAGCACACCAATGTATCCTTCAGTACGACTTATGGTTAGTTGTCTGCCATCTTCATGACGAGTCTTTCCGGCTGCATTGGCTCCAGCTATAATTCCCTGGGCAGCTGCCTCTTCGTATCCCGTGGTTCCGTTTATCTGCCCTGCAAAGAAAAGTCCTGGCACTCGCTTTGTTTCCAACGTGGGATACAGCTCGCGGGGATCAATGAAATCGTACTCCACCCCGTAACCGGGCTGCACAACTTCTGCTTTCTCCAGACCTTGGATGGCGTGGACCAGCTCAACTTGTTGGTCGTGAGGCAGCGTGCAGGAGATTCCCTGTGGATACACTAATGGACTGTCCAGACCCTCTGGCTCCAGCCAAACCTGATGAACTTTGGCGCCAAATCGCAGTATTTTTGACTCGATGGAAGGACAGTAGCGTGGGCCGGTTATCTCCTCGGTGACATGACGATTCACATGGAGATTGTCGCGCACAATGTCGCTGACTTTTGGTGTGGTGTAGGTAAGATAGCAGGGCAACTGATTCTTGGCGGGTATCCACACGTCTTTGTTCAGGAAGGAGAAAGGCATGGGCGGATCATCACCGTCGTGCCTTTGGAGCTGTGAGAAATCCACGCTGCTCTTTGCTATCCGTGGAGGAGTTCCCGTTTTTAGCCGTCCCATACGAAAACCCAATCTGTCGATGGCTTCACCCAAGGCCTTGGCAGGAGCATCACCAATCCGCCCGGCAGGACGCACCTCGAGACCAATGTTAATGTGTGCCCGCAGAAAGGTTCCCGTGGTGAGAACAACGGATCGACTGCGCACCACCTCGCCGTTAGCCAACAAGACTCCAGCACATCTTCTGGTTTGGCTGTCCTCCTCGTCCTGAATTAAAAGGTTGTCCACGGCAGCTGCTCGGATCTCCAAGTTGGGAGTGCTGTGCAGTTCCTTCTGGATAGCCTTCTTGTACAGCTGACGATCGATCTGCGCTCTGGGTCCCCAAACTGCCGGACCTCGTCGTCTGTTTAGCACCTTGTAGTGGACTCCTGATACATCGCAGCATCGGGCACACACGCCATCCAGGGCATCCACTTCGCGCATCAGGTGACCCTTGCCAATGCCACCGAAGGAGGGATTACAGGACATCTCGCCGATGGTCTCCAGTTTGTGAGTGAGCAGCAGGGTGCGTGATCCCATGCGAGCGGCAGCCGCTGAAGCCTCTGTGCCGGCATGTCCGCCTCCAATGACCACCACATCATAGATCTGGTCACTGGCACTATGAGCTCTCCTCGTTGGGAAAATAATCGTCCGGGTCAGCCCGCAGATCCCGGCTCTTCTCAGCTGCAACATTTTTAATGTAAACAAACAAAAACAACAACTGAAATTGCACAACACATGTGCGAGTTTCGTTATCGATAGCACACTTTTTATATCGATAAAAATGTTTGAAGATCAATCGGTAAAGAGCGCCACATTCAAGTTCAACTTACAAGATAAACTGTTGGGGTTCAGTTATTAAAGCCAATTGGATCATGATAATTTCCTTATTATATATGTAAAAATTTGTTCGTAATAAAATAGTTATTGCAATAACAGCATGTATTTTTTTTTCCTCATATTGTTTAGAAGGCCATAATTTCCGGTATATTTCCGATCTACTTAAAAACAACTTAGACTAGATAAACAACTAACTATTTAAAATCCTTCCATTTCTGCTTTCCGTTTGCGTTTTTTAAGCTTTTGCTTAACGTCTGGCGCTTTGCCACGGACGACAGCCGCCTTAAGACGCTTCGCTGTCTTCTTGCGCTCCTGCATGCCAGCTTTTCGCTTAGCCGCCCGTTCCGGATCATGGATCTTCTCCTGGGCGACAATCTTACGACGCTCGGCACGACGAGCCATCAGCTTGGTCTGCACAGCATTCCTCAGTTTGTCGTAAACATCAGCTCCAATTCGTTTCCTGAGGCGACTGCCTACACGGAGTGCTTGTTGACGCAGTTCCGCATCCACGTTCTGATCCTCTTCCGACATTTCGCGAACCAGAGCCTGAAGAAGAGAGGGTGCCAGCCTGGTCACGGACTCCACACTTAGAAGCGTGGACAGAGCCTCGATCAGCGTAAACATAGCCGTCCGCTAAAGTTAAAAGGATTACAAATTAGTTATTTCTTTTGGGTTTTTAAAGTAGCAAACGTACCACGCTGGTATCATGAGGAGCCTTGGCCACCTCCTTGTTAATCAGGAAGCGTATATTACGCATCAGCCAGTTAAGATTTATTTTGCTGCCCGGATTTTGCTCATCGTTCTCATCAGCATCCTTTTCCTGTTTAAGGCTAAATGGAACATCTCTCAGCATGTGGCCGACGTACAAAAGAATCTTCGATAGTTCATCTATCATCTCCTGCGCAGTTTCCCCAGGCGTGACTTGAGCACACAAATCCAACACCAACGATTTTATATCCTCAGCAGGTTGTGCATAAATAAAGTACAAGGTCTGCTCAGCGCCATCTTCTCTCTTAATTCCAGACAGCTGTTGGCCAACATACGAGTAATCGTAGTGGGCCAAAATGTGAGTCAGGGTTTTAGCTGCATTACAGCGCACCCAATTGTGATCGTGTCCCAGAAGCCGCTGAGAGCCATAGGCTAGCTCATCAATTGCATCAGAAAGTTCCGGATTGCTGAGCAGGGATTCGCCGCAATGCTCGAAGATCTTCAGCAGACAGTACTGCAATTGGATGAGCTGATGGTCAATTTTGCGCTGCTGTTCCTCCAAACGCGATTCGTTGTCGTGGCCTGCTAGCAGAATATCTTCTCCAGGCAGGGAACCATATTTCTAAAAAGCAAAATCGTAGTATGTAATAGATATTCATAAACCATTTATAAAATTGTATAATACCTTTCTCTTGCTCTTTTTATGCAGGGCATTTTCATCCACCTCCACTGCCAGATGTCCTGGAGCTCTCACAAATTTACCTCCGACCTCAGCATCACCCAAAGTCAATACATTCACCAGAATAGGCAGCACTTTTGTTAATCTTTCTGCAAATCCAGCCTTCTCTGCCTGAACGAATCTCGAGAGAAGAGCAGCAGCCATTTCTCGGACTCCTGGCTTCTGACTGGACTGTGGTGAAGTGAAGAACAGCAAAGTAAGATCCAACAGAGGTTGTCGTTCATGTTTAGTTAGCCGTCCGATTAGAGCCTCCAAAGCGGCAGCCACATTTCGGCGACACGAGGGATCCTCATCGTTTACCAGTCGAGTGCCCAGGGAGAGATAAAGGAACTCCGACTGCTTATACAGCATCAGCTGCGGGAACTTGTTGATGATGGAGTGCATGAACTGGATGGCCGACTGTCGACCGGCAGTCTGACTGTAGCACAACTGCACCGACATGAATTTGACGATCTGATCGACCTTCTGCCGCAGTGTATACTCCATTATGTAGGTGAGCAGAATGCCACGACACTCATCTCGCACATAATCCGATGGAGAGATGATGGAAAGGTCGCTCAGACGCTTCATAAGATCGTGCAGGGATCGGGTGTCCACTTTTCTACCCACAAGTGCTTTGAGTAAGGTAAACACCATGGTTTGACTGCTGCATTCGCCTTCTTGCAGCTCCTGTTCGATGTGTAGCAAGAGCTGCTCGATTTGTTCGTTGCTGAGTTTGTAGTCCTCGCACTTCCGCAACAAGGCCACCACTGCTTTGAAGCTCGCTCTGACCAGCTGAGCGTTTTCCTCTTGTTTGGTGGCTCCAAAGGTTGAGAAATTCTTGAGGATCTCGAACATGCGTTTAACCACCGGCTGCAGTGCCTCAGTATCCAATTCAGAGAGCTCATACTCTCCCAACCAAATGGCTGTGTAGCATTTAAGAGCATAGGTGGTGGTCCTGGCGTGATTGCTGCCCAGGGAATCTTTCAGCAGTGGCAGCAAAGGATGCAGGAATGGTTGGTAGTCCAGATCTGTAAGTTTCTTTCGCTTCAAAACGAAGTGAAGAAGCTCCAAACCGAATTCAACCAGTATGTGAGCATTGGCTTGGGCATTCGACTTAACTAGCTTGTTTCCGGTTGCCACACTGCGTCTTCCTGGCGCTGGTTGAATGATCAGGCAATCAGGACGCGATCTCTTCATCAGTGCCTGTTCCTTATCCGTAAGCTGTCGTTTCTGAGTTCCTGGTAAAAGGTCGCTAATGCTCTCCGACATCGTACCGTAGATGAAGATCAGCAGGCTCTCCCTTGCAATGTGTGTGTTCTCCACCAACCCACCCACGATTTTGGCAAAGCACTCCTGAATCTTCTGTGTGACCTTGCGGGAGTGGGATCGCATCAAATGTTCCTTGAACGGCAAAAGCAGGTCCAGCAAGCAGTTGTCCCGGATGTGACGAGCGGCTATGTGAAGTGTGAGATAGCTCTTTGCACTCGGTTTTGCTTCTGGCGTGTGGGCAACGATTTTGTCCACCTCCTTCTCGGCATTAACATCACCAAAAATGTCATTTAGAGCCACTTCCAAAAGATTCTGCAGGCATTTTTCTATATGATCGGGTTGGAGGTCACTCTTTAAGGCATCCAAAACGCCATGAAGAGTAACAGAGAGCACGTGCACCTGGAATCCCCGCGTCAGCAGCGATTGCAATTGCTCCAGGAGCATGCCCAAGTAACTGCCACCCAACGTGATCATAATCTTCTTGAGAATATCGCGGGTAAGCATTCGTACGGATTTCAGAGGGGATCGCAGAAAGGTGCAGACCTTCATGAAGATTCCTGTTGGGTATAAATTAAAATTGATCAAATTTCTCTCACTTATATTAAGGTTACACATACCTGGCAGACTATTTTCCAATAACTCTAGAGGAAGCTTCTGCAGCAGTTTAACCATAGCCAAGGCAATGGGCACTCGCTGAATCTCCTCTTCCTCGCGTTCGTAGCTCAACCGTCGACGGTTAACCTTGTGCTTGGTGTCGTAGTTGGTCTTTTCGGTTATGGATCTGTTTAGAGTTGGCAGCAGAACTGTGGTAATGGTGGCCATGACTCGCTTGGCAGCATTGGGAGCTAAAAGTAATGTGCGCTGTTTTTCCACCACCGGTTCGGTGGCCTCTTCCTCCTCAAAGTTTATAAAGTCCGATTCATCCTCCTCCTTCTTAACGGGTTTTTCTTCCACTTCCTCATCATCTTCCTCTTCCGTTTTATTTTCTTGCGCTTCCTCAGCTGCTTCCTTGGCCTCCACTTCCTCGGCCAGTCTTTCCTTAAGTTGAGCCAAAGCAGCAAGATCTGTTTGTGCTTGCGTCAAGTCAAAGTGAAAGGCGTCCAGAATCCGGACCACCAATCGAACGCATTGCTTCTGCTGTCCCTGGGCGTGTCGTAGTTTTTGGAGGTAGTAGCGGAGAACAGCATGATATTGTGCCCAAGGGAGGAACTCAGTCATCACTCCAACTGCCTCAATTGCGGCATCCACTAGAGTGTGTTTTCCAGAATGCTTTTCGCTCATTAGATATCGAGTGGCCAGCGGAAGGAGGAACTGGGTGAGAGTACGGGCGCAAGGTGGAGACTGACGCCAAATGCCTCCAGAAATATTCACCAGACGCTGCAAGGCACGACCATGTCTTTGGGTTTGCAGATGCAGCATGTTCTCGAAAAAGTCCACCTCCAGATCGTGTTTATCCGCGAGAGGTGATAGATCCTTCAGGATCTCATGTGCAGCCGGACATTGGCGAGCGAGTTCGCCTAGCAAGCCAATAGCTTCGCTCCTCGCATGTTCATGCTTCTCATCTCTCATACAGCGTTGCAACAAAGGCAGAAGCGTGTCCTCCAGCCAGAAATGTACATCCTCCTTTAGCTCCAGTTGCAGAGTTATCAAGGGAAGCAGAGGCTTGAGCAGCTCACCAATGTTTACTCTCATGCCCAAATCGGAATCGTGGCGCAGCATATAAAAGCAGTTGTAAACCACTAGGACTCCGAGTTGCAAATCTATCTTCTTGTCCTTCTTTTCCACCAATTGCTTGAGTTCGGAAAGACCCTCAAGTCGCTTGTCATAGTCCGGCTGCTCCAACCATCTTTTGTCCCAGGCATTCAGTAGCAACACAATCCTCACCCACTCCCGCAAAGAAGCGGCAATGGACGATAGTTCGGAGTTTTGTTTTGCCTCCTTGTGCAGCCTTTTGGCCATGTCAGCCAGGAGTTCGCAAAGTAACTTCCTTGCTGGCAAAACATTAACCTGTTCGAAGAGCGGAGCTAACTGACGGATATAGTCCTGCGGTCTGGGAACACGTTTCAACAGATTCGATAGAGTGGTGACCAACTGAACGACTGTCTCCGGTCCAGCTGAAGCCGCTTGCTTGGTGAATATCGGGAGAACTACTTGCAAAAGCAATTCGCAAGTATCTGGCTCTTCCACGTGCGAAGTTATAAGAGTTAGAATGTTAAGTTCCCGCTTATCAAGCGCCTGCCTGCCGGCCTTCTTGTGGCGCCAACTATTCTGAAGCTGCTGCAGGATGGCAGGAATATGCGGATGAATAATTGACAAGGCCTCTGCTTCATACTCCTCCGTGGCTGCCGATTCCAGGAGGTGCTCCACCACCTGCATGAGCGAGCGCTTGACATTGGGCTTGGCTTTGTCGTTCAGCAGGAGTGCCATTAAGTGGTGCATAATGGGCTGCTTATCGGAGGGAGGACTCTTGTTTAACCACTTCTGGTAGCGCGGTTCTCCGCCCCACAAGAGTAGCAGCTTCAGCATCGGAGTCGGCGTGTGTATAGAGTCCTGCGAGAGGCGAGCAATTCCTGGCCAAAGGTAAACCTCACATATTGCATTCATCTCCGTCTCCTGCCACAGTTCCTCCATGTCCACCAGCTGACCGAAGTAGTTCACCAGTGTCTGCAGACCGGAATGCTTGACATTCTTGTAAGCAGCCACCAGTTTTCCCTCTCCATTGATCACTTCCTGGGCGACGCTGCCAACGAGCAGCAGTAATTTCAAAACGTAGGTTTGGAAATCCGATGTCAGCTTGCCGGCGAATTCCTTGCGAATAAGTTCAAGCAGGTTGACTATCCTCTGCAGCTGCTTGGCTGCAATCACTGCTGTTGGATCATACGAGTCTCGTACAAACTTGGCAACTTCGTTTACTGGTTTATCGGTGTATGCAGTAAACTTCCCAAAGGCCATTTTAAGGAAGTCCATGATCTCCGACTCCTCCAGTTGACCCAGGAATCGCAGGATCAGTGTCTTTCGCAGCTGTGCACTGAGTTGCTTTTGGACACCTTTTGTCAACATTTTGCCGTAAAGCACACGGAGCATGAAGGGCATCAACTCCGATCTTTGTTGTGCAGGAATGCTGGCCAGTTCGAAGCCACTGAGTGTCGTCTTGAACTTCTCTTCATCGATGAGACCCGATAACTGAGCCTTTTGCTGCACAAGAGCCGCTGGTTGCTTGTAGGCCGCCAAACAATCCAACGCTAATTGTTGCAACTGGGCATTTGGACCAGCTAGAAGCTCCAAATAGAAGTCGTGCATCTCCGCCTGCCGATGCAGAGCCTTGGGATTTGGTTGCGATACAAAACATGCCAATTTCAGTTGCAGCGTTTGCAGAATGAACTTGGTGTGGGCATTGTAAGTTCTTCTTTTCTGCCGACCTCGAGGCTCGGATTTTGTTTCATTCTCATCTTCGTCCTCAGCATCAACTTCAGCAGCTATAAAATAATTAGCTTTAAAAGATTGTTTGCAATTAATTAAGGATACCTTACCTGTAATCTCATTAACATTCCAAGTGTGCTCCGATTTCTCCAACTGAGCGCGATACTCTTGCTCCAAAAACTGCAAAAATAGTCGCACAACATCTGCATTCTTAACTTCGGCAAGAGTTCCCAACTTTGGCAGACTTTGCCAAAGGAGTTGGCGATAGTTAAGTGCCTGCTGAAGAGTTATTTGTTGCTCGCCCGTCAAAGGAAGGAGCATCGCCAGCGCCACCGATTCGTAGTTCCTTTGATAAGGCTCTTGCAAAGTGGTAACCTCCTTTTTGTAGTCTATGCAAGAAACTGTCTCAACCAGCTTGGCCTTAAAAATGTTCCAGAACTCATCTGTTGACATAGTTTTCGCGTAGGCCGCCAGGAGCTGTTGAACTGGTGCCCAAACAAACTTGAAGTTGTTGTAAAGCAGGCCGAGCAAAAGACTCACAGCATGCTCCTTAAAATGTGGCAACTGGGAAAATTGTTTGAACTGAGCAGCCGCTGGTTCCAATTGCTGCAGCTGAAGGAGCAGCTCGCGGTAGTTGTGGACGGTGGGTTCAATACATGTGGCGGCATAGAAGTGGGAGTATGGATTGGGTTTACTGGAAGCATTAACCACATCCAGGCAGTGGGCAGCTATGCGTCGGTATTGTGAGACGGGTTGGCTTAGCAGACTCGAAATTCCAGAAAGTAAATCTTCCGAGGCGGAGAGTTCACTTTTGGGAGTTTCCAAAAGAACCAGCTGTAAACTGGCCAAAGCTCTAAGGTCCTTCCCCAGTTCAGGAATAAGATATTCATAAATGCTAGACCGCAGACTCTTGGGTAGTTTGAACTTGAGCAAAGCATGTGTTTGCAGTAGCAAAAGAAACTGGGTAAAATCCTTTTCGCCGTCCTTTATGAACTTTTCAATGACTGATTGCAATTTTTGCTCCAAAGGCTGCTTGTTAAATCCTCTTAAGTGGGGAGCAAGAATTAGAAGTAGTAAATCATATTCTTTGCCCAAATCGATCTTTAGCAAATCTTGTTCCACGATTTTAATGGTTTCCTTTTGCTTTAGCTGGAGGGGATATGCAACCCACTGGGCTAAGGAGTTTCCATCCACTTGCAGTGGTCTTTTGTGTTGGATGATGCGAGCTAGCAGTTCCAATGCTCTAGTTTGCCGCTGCTCTTCGTAGTAACCAATAACATTCGGCAGGACCAGAATTTCAAACTGTGGGTAGTCCAGGAGTTGCAGAATGGCGTCTTCGTACACGGAAACATGTTTTCGGCATACGCTAAGCAGTTTCTGCAGCAGGCGACTGGCATCCAGTTGTGTGAGTTGGGTGTGCTGAGCCTTCAAGAGGCTAGTGACCAAGGTTGTCAGCGACTGCAGAGGATCTACTTCCAGCTCCAGCAACTTTAACAAAGTGGAAACCACGAGTGAAAGCTCGGAGACATAGCGTCCATCCTTGTGGGTGACCAAGGGCAGCATTAGATCAATCAGTCGTATAACATCCGCACCATCTATGTTGGCAGCCGAACAGAGCTTCTGCCACAAAACATTGCTTTGATCTGAGCGCAGGAAGTTCAGCAAGAGTCCCAGGGAATACTCGACAATGTCCCCCAAAAGATCTGTTTGCGCTTTAGTGTGAGCTGAAGCCTTGTTGACGAGCACCTCCAAGACATGGGCAAATATCTCAGCCGCCGAGTTGTGAAGCTGTCCATTGACTCCTCGCAGAATTTCGTAGATAAGCCTTCCACATCCGTGGACACTCTCCACCTGCTCGCGCAGCACAGTCTGCAGCACAAAAGCCAGGAATCGTGGGAAATCCCGGACATCACGAGCGATATACGCGAAGCATTCCACAGCAAAGTTGGTCACATGTTCGGCATAGTGCTGCTCGTCCAGAAGCGGCAGAATGGCATTGAAGACTACACCAATATTGCGTTTTAAATAGGGTTTGAGGGTCTTGAACAAGTGTGCCAGGCATATCAACGTCCACTCCAGTTGCTCAGCATCCTGGGTGTTGAGAAGGCAGATCAGGCGGTCAAGAACGCGCTGGAAGTAAGGGTAGAACTCCTCGCGGAGATCCTTCGCCAGGACAAAGAGAAGTTCTAGCAGCGGCTGCTGGGAAAGATTTGTAGCGGTGGCCAGACGCTCGAGCAACAGGTCCACCACAAAATCCTTCTGGTGCAGTAGCTGCGGCAGGGTAACAATCTTCCTGCATTTCTTGCTGAAGTAGTTGTACTCCTCGGTGAGATTGAGCACGTTCCATTTCTGGATTGTCTGCTGGAAGAAAGTGGCATTTTCCTCCTCGTCGAGCTCCTCATTCCGGTGTCCGATGTGATAGAGGGCCAGGTGCCGCAAGTCGATCTCATTCACCCGGTCTCCGAAAGATTTGAACTGCGGGAGAAAAACATGTGAAACGGTGCTCCCGGCAACGTGAGACTTCTGGGGACACTCACCCGAAATGTGTTGGTGTCTTTTGTTTTTTCCGCTAAGGATGCCATTTTGTTTGAGTCTGCACCTGATTACTAATCACTTCATTTGCGTTTTGCAACTTTAAAATGCGAAAAAAGCTCGTTTGTTTACGGACACTTTTCTTTCAAATGCAACACGTGCAAGACATATTTACGCACAAGTACCGATAGGCAGTCGGCGATTGCTCAGTATAAAAACATATGTTCATGAAAAATATCGATAGTATCGGATATTAGTTTTATAAGCGCGCTCTTTTTAAATGCGACACTGAATTTTGTTAAAATATTTTAAATAGGCTTTTAAGTAATTAATTAAAAATAGGAGATTTCCTTTTACGTAATTTGAATACTTTTTTCTTTATAATCTCATTGTTTTCTAATTTTTTCCTTTTGTTTAACTTTTGTCACCGTAAAAGTTATTGTTAAAGATTAATAAATTTGAAATTGTACCCATCCTTACATATTAATAATTCAGATGAAATTGGAATGTTCGTTTTTTATTGGTTATTATACTTGGTTTAAACAAAAAAGATAAAAAGACTTTATTTAATATGGCACATTGAAAAAATAAAATCAAAAAATTTAAAAGATTCCCAATTCTGGCTTCCGGGTTCAATTCTTTCCGGTTTTAGATCAAAAAGTTTATGTAATATGGCACATTGAAAAATTAAAATCAAAGCTTCAAGCAGATTCCTGATTCTGGAGGTAGTTAAAAACAGTGCCACGCTCCACAAATCGCTTGCTGTTTTCCTGGTTCAAGCCTTCTCCGGTTTTAGAAAAGTCTTCAACTGGTCCAAATCCACCGCCGCCTGGAGTTTTCATTGCAAAGGTATCCTAAAATGTATTAAATTAAATTTTTTAGTACCTTATATTAGTTGTCAACTTGTTCGAAAACTTACCCCAGCTTCCACATCAATGCAGGTCTTTCCAGCCAAGGCAATCACTCGACCATCATGCTTGACCACCAAATTGCGTCCACTTTTGGCCGGTTTCCCGCCAGCAAGTCCGTAGGGTTGAAGGGCTCTGCGTTCAGTTAGCACGGACAGAGTAACTGGTTTACGGAAAAGCAGATCACGCTCCACTCCCTCTCCTCCGTTGAACTGACCCCTTCCACCGGATCCATCGGTGCGCAGACAGAAGCGCTTCAGGATCATGGGATAGCGCAGCTCCAGGATTTCCGGATCGGTGATGCGAGTGTTGGTCATGTGGGTGTGCACTCCACCAGCTCCATGCCAACCAGGTCCGGCTCCTGCTCCTCCGGCCACCGTTTCATAGTATCCCCAGGTCTCGTCTCCAATCGTAATATTGTTCATGCATCCTTGCGAGGCGGCACAAACTCCAAAGGCCTTCAGCACAGTGTCCACAATTCTCTGCGATGTCTGCACATTTCCACCGACCACAGCAGCTCCTTCGGAAGGATCCAGAATGGAGTTCTTGGGAATGATCACCTGGATTGGAGCAAGACAGCCCTGGTTGAGGGGCACATCGTGACCCACCATGCAACGCAGGCAGTAAATCAAGGCGGACAAAGTGATTGCCCGCGGAGCATTGCAGTTGCCCCAAACTTCCACTCCGGATCCAGTAAAGTCACACAGAGCAGATCCCAACTCTGCATCGATAGTCACCTTAAGGGCAATAGGAGAACCATCGTCCATGAACTCCTTGGCCTCCAGCACAGTGGATCCAGTGCGTTCCAAGGTATCCCGACCAATCTGACGCAACATGTCGCGAACTGCCAGTTCAGCATTCTTCTGAATGTGCGACATGTAAGCCTGCACCACGTCCAATCCATAGCTATCGATCAGCTCCGCCACCAGCTGGATTCCCTTGTGGTTGGCGGCAATCTGGGCCTTCAAATCGGATAGGTTGTCACTTAGATTGCGAGTTCCCACTGCTCCCTTGGCAGCTGTTGGCGTGGTCAACTGCTTGATGATCTGCTGCTCCTGGAAAAGGCCATTCTCCACGATCAGAAAAGACTTGAAGGCGGCACCCTCTTGAGCCAACGAGGTGGAGTGCGGTGGCATGGATCCTGGTGTAATTCCACCGATATCCGCGTGGTGACCTCGAGAAGCCACAAAGAAAACGGGGCGAGGATGACTCCTAAAAAGATAAATTAAAATTAAATATATAAAGATAAGTTTGGTGCAGGATAAATAATGAGCACTCACTCATAGAACACTGGCGTAATGACGGTTAAATCGGGAAGATGGGATCCTCCTGCGGAGGGATGGTTGGCCAGGATGACATCGCCATTCTTGAGGGTTTCTCCTCGCACCCTCAGCTGATACTGGACAGTTTCCTGCATGGCACCCAAGTGCACTGGAATATGAGGAGCATTGCTCACCAACCCACCATCCGGTCCAAAAAGAGCACACGAAAAGTCCAGACGCTCCTTGATGTTGGTTGAAATCGAAGTGCGCTGAAGCACCCTTCCCATTTGCTCGGCGATGCTCATGAATCGATGGCTGAAGATACTCAGATGGACTGGATCTAAGTCGGCATTAATGCCATGTTTGCCACCTGTCTTTACGTCCATGACGAGGTCACCGAACTCAGTTACATGAACATTGCACTCCGGTTCCACGACAATGGTTGATAGTTGATCGATAAGTAGAGCGGGTCCCAGGATCTTGTGTCCTGCCAGGAGGTTCTTGGTCAGGTAAATCGGAGCATCGAAGGCACCCTCATCAAAGTATAGACGACATTTTGAATTGGATTCGGCTGGTGGAGTCACTTCAGAGGCACTAATAACCTTAGATTCTGGTGGTGTCTCATTCTTGCCCAATCCTCGAATGCGAATATCATCTACAATTATTCGCCGGTTTTGCAATACGAATCCAAACTCAGTGCGATATCGCTCCAAGAAAGTGGCATTAAAATCTCCATAATTCTTCAACAGGGGATTTGAAGCAGAGGTTTGCTTTCCACCTGAAGGAGCCACCATTAGCGCACCATCAGTTCCCTCGTAACGCAAATGGAGGAAGGGCTCCAGCTCAATATGACGGAACCCCTGATCAGCCAACTTCTTGTGACATTTCTGGGACAATGCATCTAGCCGATCCTTCAGCTGCAGAGCATTTGCTTCGTTGAACTCCAGACCACTGGGCTCTTGGACTTCCTGGACAACGTCGGCCAGAGCCATTCCATAGGCGGATAATATTCCGGCGTACTTGTGAACCAAAACCTAGAAGGAGAAACAAAAGTTTCTTACTATCTGAATCTTTATAATCAGATAATAAATAACCTACTACTCTAAATTTGTTGCAAGATTAGCAAACTTATTATTTATATGCACTCTAAATATAACAAATATTTATTACTTTTTAAAATGAATTATTTGATCAATGATCTTTCATTAGAGATTTCAAATTATTGAAAACGAATACAAGTTAGTCTATGTTTTACTAACCTTACGAATACCCAGATTACGTGCAATGGCGCAGGCGTGCTGACCACCAGCTCCTCCAAAACAGGACAGCACATGGTTGGCAGTATCCAATCCTCGGGATTGAGTCAAGGCACGAATTGGACGGCACATAGTTTCGTTGGCCACTCGAATAAATCCAAGGGCAACGTCCTCAATACTCAGGACTCGATTGTCTCCAGAAGACTTCAAATACTCGTTGATCTCCTTCTGCAACTCAACAAACTTACTCCTGGCAATCTCATGATCCAGAGGTTCATTCTCTTTAGGACCAAAGATCTTGGGGAAATACTGCGGCAGAATGCGTCCCAAAATGAGATTGGCATCCGTGACGGTCAGAGGACCTCCCTTCTTGTAGCAAGCAGGTCCTGGATGAGATCCTGCTGACTCAGGACCCACGACAAATATTCCAGAACGGAAGAACAGCCGAGATCCACCGCCTGCAGCTACAGTGTTAATGTCCAATTGAGGAGCCTGGATTGTAACTCCTGCTGTGGTGCTTTCGATCACATGTTCATAGATTCCTGCGTATCTGGATACATCAGTTGAGGTGCCACCCATGTCGAAACCAATTAGTGGCAGATCTGTTTCCCGGGATCCAGTTAAAGCGTATCCTACAACTCCTCCTGCAGGACCAGAGAGAATAGCACGAGCTCCCCGGAAGCTATCCATGTTGGTGAGACCACCATCCGATTGCATGAAGAGCACATCCACTCCCTCCAACTGTTTATCGAATCCGGATTTGAAACTATAGAACAGAATAACAATATTAAATAGAGAAAATAAGATATGGGTGTTCCCAATAGTTTTACCACCACTGTAGAATGACTTTTTTTTTTGCTTTTGTTGCTTTACCCATTAGATCTTGAAGAACTTGTATGTACTGTGATAAGATAGGTGTAAAAGCTTGACGTGAAAATAAACCATATCATTTTCAGTGGAACAACAAAGAAAATATTAACACCTTAATGAGATGATTTTTGTTTTATAAAGTCTAAAAATCTTGAAATCTGTTAACACCTAATGAAATTAAATACTTATATGAAACTGGTCTTTCTAACTTTTTACTTTCTGAGGTAAAAGTGATTTAAATGTTGAAACCAAGTTTATTGTTTTTCTCTGTTTGCTGACTTTACGTAACCCCTTCTGAGATCGGTGCTTTGTTTACTTGTTTTTTTTTTTTTTTGGTTGTATTCTTATTTCAGTCTGGGCAGGCGCTTATCTTTATGACGATTCTCCCCTCCGAAACTTAAAAACATGTTTGGCCATAAAAAGAGCTGCATCATTGGGCTAATTTACTAACCAGATTAGATGAACTTACCTGGCCAAGTAGCGATCCACGTGGGGTGTTAAATAGGCCTCGGCGCAGGCTGTATATCCCCTGGCCACCACTCGGCACATGGGCATTGCCTGGTGGGAAAGGGTAACGTGGCTGAATCCCAGTTCCCTGGCGATTTCACCCACTCGGAGTTCGTGTTCTGGACAGGCGTAACTATGAGCCAAGACCACAGAGACGGAGGAGACTCCTTCTTTTCGGGCTTCTGAGAGGGATTCACGTACCGCAGCCTCATCTACAGGTTGCACCTCCAAATACTTTGTGCCAGCCACTCCCTCTAAAACTTTCCGGCTGTGATCTGTAATTATAATTGATATTCTATATAGCACTCGAGGTTAATAGTGTGAATTACCTATAGATACTTACTCAGCTCACACCGATCCTTCTGTTCTGGAACTATACGGCAATCCACCTCAACCACAGATTTATACAGATTCGCTGGTTTTCTGATATTCAAATCGAAGATCTTTGGTCTCGCCTGGTTGCCAATGTAGAGGAGATCTCGGAATCCACTGTTGACCACCAGAACCACAGGATCTCCCTTGCGTTCCAGCAGAGCATTCGTGGCCACCGTGGTGCCCATGCGAACCCAACCAATTTTCGAGGTGTCCACCAATCCACTGGCTGCCAAATCCTCTCCGGTTTCCTCTTTCAGAATCCGCCGGATTCCCTCGCGGGGAGCATCACTGTAGTGTTTCGGATCCTCGGATAGCAACTTCAAGGTTCGCACTTTTCCATTGGGACAAACACATAACACGTCCGTAAAAGTGCCGCCGCGATCGATGGCGAAACAATATTTGTTGCCCGACATTCTGTTCTTTGTTTTGTGTTTTGCTTGGAGTGAAAAAATTAGACTGAGCGAACAACAAGTGTCACATGCTGTATATATACAGGTGGCCGATCTCTGCTCTCTCGAAAAAAGCTCTTAAAAGCTCTGGAAGTCGTGATCAGCTGATTAAAAGTGAAAGAAAAACAGAGCGGTTAAAAAAAATTGAGAAGAGCTTTTCTTAAGGCTTAAGATACAAAAGTATCTATGGGTTAAAAGTGATGAAAATATTACATTTGACGTGAAATAATCGAACAAACTATAAATGACTTTATAGAAACATTACGTTAAAAGAAGAACTGCAAAAGTTTTTATTTTTATTGAAAAATGCCACTGCTACTTATTTTAATATAGGCCATAAATAACTAATATAAGCAAAATACAAACCCCTTATAGTTCTATTTAAAAAATTTAATTTTCATAAGCGCAGAAGCAAATTATTATTTTGTATCCGTCATCCTTTCGCTGTTATGAATTCAAATATGATTTTGATTCCCAATATAATGCTGCCTTTGTCATTTCAGAACATAATAAAAACGAATAGCTGCCTAATTAAAAATGCAATACGAATTCTGGCAATTGGAGTTTTAATTCGCTTTTATTGTGCCACAAGCGCTCCAGTTGTCCGTCAATAATGCCACATATCAAACTGCAGCATAGTTTGTTTCCAATTCGAACTTATTGGGCGCCAACGCTAAAATATCTCGTTTCATTGATGGCCCCCCTCGGCAACCCATAAATATATGCAAATGCATGTTTTATCTGTGTTTTTTACTTGGCAGCAATGAAATTTGATGACTTATTAAACGAGGCCATAAAGAGCGCATTCCGTCCGCTTGTAAATACGGTGTGGAACAAGCCAGAATGCCAGAAAGTCAGAAAGTCAGTGTCAATATCACGGAATTGGCCTTTGGGCGCAATTGTTTGCGCAGAAAAGGAGGCGGTATCAATTCGAGTCGATTTGCGACTTCGATTGCGGCTCCCAGCGGAACCGTTCAGATTGTTTCTCGCCACCGTTATGAGCCCTAATACCCGTGACCTGTGACCCCGCGACTGAGAGCGACTCAAGTGCCAGTCGCAGGATGTTTTATGTTCGGGGGAACATTGATGGCAGTTTTACGACCCTACATGCCTAGCAAAAAAGCAAAAAAGAAAAAGAAAAACAGTAACTCAGCTCCACAAATTGCCTAGAGTTTTCTGTAAACATGGTGCTCTGGCTGAAGCATTTCTCGAAATGGAAGGGGAAGTGTTGTAGGTGCAGAAAACACAGAAAGCAGAAGAAAAAGGAAAAGGAATCGGACCGCCAGACGGAGAATGAGTTGTGGTTGGAGTACCATGGCCCACATCTGCACATTTGGCCATTTCACGACCTCCTCGTCAGATTGGAAACGAATCTCTCCGCGGTAAGAAAGGAAATCGAAATTCCCGTGGACAAATTTATGACCCGGAGTCCTTTTACAGGGACTATCCTCCCAGGCGGCGGCAAACAAATTAGCCAGAAATGGCAAGAATATCCTACCCCTTCCCATTAAACAGGATGTGGGACTTTGGAAATTCATCAAGAATTGCTTCAGCATTTTGGGCATCTTCATACTGCTGAGTTCTGTTTGCTGCTTTGTGCTGTATTTCATCTTTGAAGCTTACACGACCACCAAACAATCTGATCCAGACTTACTAGTTGCGGGACTCATACTACTCATCGTTTTTTTTCTCACAGGATTCGTACTCCATTTGCAGGACGAAGAAAGTGAAGAAATGATCACGGCTTTCGACGAACTGATGCCGATGTATTGCACTGTGATTAGAGATGGGGAAAAGGAGATCATCCTCACTCAGGATGTGGTAATTGGAGATATTGTACCGATAAGTTACGGTCAGCGGCTTCCTGCCGATCTGCGATTCTTTAGCACTTCGAATCTGGAGGTTAATAATGTCGCTCTGACAGGATACTCGAAACCCGTTCATGTCACTCCTTTGGCGAATGAGGGGCGCCAGAGATACTCCAGAGTTGAATTCATTTAGGGGTTTTGAAAATGTATTGCACTTTACTGAATAATGCAACATTTTATAGCCTTTAAAAATATTAATAAATCAAATCAAATATAATCTAAATCAATTTATGCCAAGCACAGAAAAATATTTATGAGAAAATATAAATTGAACTAGGTAAATTCTTAAATCATTTCGTTTTTGCTGGCAGGCAAAGTAATATTTTTCCTAATTGCCACTTTTAGAAATGAAAATAACTAAGGATGAGTTTGAAACCAATTTCGAAGTGGGAATCCGACAACGTGGGTTTCGCCTGCAGCCATGCGATGCAGGGATATGGATACGGAGTAGCCATCGCCTGTGGAAAGAACACCGATGTGGGAGCGATGACAGCACTCAGCTTCAAGAAAAGACCAAAGAGTCGTGTGGAAAGACATTTAAAACAAGTACCTATTTAAATACCAAATATCAATTGATCCATTTACTAAACTTTATCTCATTTTAAGGTTTTTTATTATACGCTTTGCGTGGCTTTAATAATGATACTCCTTCTTCTCATAACAACCGGATTTGAACGTGGTGAAATTGTGTACGAGGTGAATCTTTCACTTTTGGTTGCATTGATGCCAATGTACTTGCCATTTATCCTTTACTGGGGACTCCGGAGGACGAAAACGCAAATGAGAAAGAAGCAATGCCATGTGAGGAACCTTCGGAGTGCCAGCACAGTGGGCCTAACCACAGTAATAGTCACAGATTTAGTTGGCACCATGACCAAGCGAAGAATGCGGGTTACCGAGATCTTTGTGGACATGGCTTTATTGAGTGCCAATGACTTGAATGCAAATGATCTCGATCCGCGTTTCATTGAACTCATCCAGGCTTCGGTTCTCTGCAATGATGCGGTTATTTGTCCAGGAAACATTGGAGTACCCAAAATGCAAAAGGATATGTATGGCAATATTTTGGATGTAGCTTTGCTCAAGTTCGGTTTGATGATGCTACCCGATATTGATCTTTTGAGAAAAGATCACGAAAAAGTGGCCAATAAACACTATACCAATGCGGATAAGGTTCAGGTGACTGTTCACAGGACTCGCGACGAAGAAGGCCAGATGAAACTGATTCTCCTGATGAAAGGACATTGCCATGTGGTTTTAGGCAGATGCTCCACCTTTGCCATTCGCGATGAGGAGATCCCGCTGGACGATCAATTCACGAGTATAATTCAAAGTGTGGCGGATGGTTTATTGGAGGCAGGTCGTCATGTTCGAGCTTTTGCTTACAAAGAGTTGAGCAACGAGTTGGAATTTCGTCGCTTCTCGCAGGTGAATGCAAATACTGGCTTGGAAAGTGGGGATTACAAGTACAGGGATTACTTGGCGGTGGATACTTTCTCCCTGAGATTCCTCGGCATGATTGCCACCCACAATCCCTCGAGAAGCACCATTCCCAAGGCGGTAGCTCGCTGCAGACAAGCGGGTATTAAGTTGATCCTGGTTACAAGTCGTAAAAGGCATCTGGCTCAAGCTTTAGCCGAAGATGTGGGCATTTTTTCGCCACAAATGGATAATTTCAGCCGCAGTACTATCAATATGAGGCGCAGTACTATCAATATGAGGCGCAGTACTATCAATATGAGGCGCAGTACTGTCAATATGGGGCGCAGTACTAGCAGTATGATGCGAACCGGTGCGAAGATAGTGGACATGTCGCTGTACAAAGAGTATAAGCCCCATCACCAGATTTGGGAAATCGAACAATTGCTTTTGAGTGAAAGGGATTTGATTTTTGCCGCCACAAGTAGGGATCAACATCTCTGGATTGTGGAATCATGTCGACGGTTGGGAGGAGTAGTTTCCGTGATTGGAGGAACTCTTAATGATACTCCAGCTATGATGAGTGGCCACGTGGCGGTGGCCAAGTACGGATGTGCCGTCATGTGCGAAGCCAGTGCGGATCTCATCCTGCTGGACAGCTCCTTCGCCACATTAATCGTTGCGATTAGCGACAGTCGTCTGCTGTTCGAGAACCTCAAAAAGGCATTGGCCTATTGCCTCGCCACTAATACGACCAATATTCTTGTGTTCTCCTGCTTCTTCCTGCTCCACATTCCCCTCCACCTGCATATCATAGATGTGCTCATCCTGGCCTTCCTGGTCAACTTGGTAAGTGCAGTCCCATAAAATTTGACTCGACCGAGTCCAGGCAAGATTGGGTTTCCCCACAGCTACCTGCCTTGACTCTGATTTACGAGTTCCCCGAGAAGAGAATGATGATGCAGATGCCCAAAGTCTACGATGACATTCTGCTTAATAGTCGGTAAGTTGGTATGCACAAAATATAACGCCAATGCTGACCTCAAAATAAAATAGGCCACTGATCAGCTAAAACCATGGGGAAACTGTGAAATATAGTATAAGTCTAATTATTTTTTTTCTTTCAAGTAAATTTACATTGTATATTGTAAAAGATTATTTTTTGACTGGAAGTTTTTTTTGGCAATGTTTGTATATATTCACAGAAAAGGTTTAATATAGCCACATTTTTGTCTAAAAAATACTAAATAGCAGCACTTTAATAAACGTTCTGGTGGTTCCCCAATATCAACATTTTCTGTCTCTTGCATTTTATTACCATGTATATTTATGCAAACGCTTTGTACCAAAACATATCTGCAGGAACATAAATATGTTGATAAATTATAAAGCAAAACTAGTGACCAATTTTTAAAGAACATAAATCTTTGCAAAAGTGGTTCAGCATTATTTTTAAAGGAAATTACAAGCCCTTATAAATTACATAATATATGAAAAAATGTATTTACTTTAATAATTTATTTCCCCTCCAATAGACTAATTTTTGTGTCCCACATTCTGGTGGGAACCATCGAAGCCGCTGCAGTTTTTACGACCTACTTCGTTTTCATGGGGAGCAAGGGATTCGCTCCAAAAACTCTGGTGGGTCTGCACATCGTGTGGCACGATGAGCTGGTGGACAACATAACCGATACTTTTGGCCAGGAATGGGTAGAAATAACCAGGTATTCCCGGTGACCAGCTGACCCTAACTACCATTGATTTTCCTCAGAGCAGCGCCGCCCGGGAGAAACTGGAGTGCCAGGTGTCCTCCCTGTGCCTGATGAGCCTCATCACGATGCAGTGCACCAACCTGGTGTTGACGAAGACGGGACGTGCCAATCTGCTGAATCATGGCTGCGGCAACTGGCTACTAAATTTGGCGGTCGTCTATTTGATTTTCATCGCCGTGGAGATGTGCCTTCTGGACTCCACTGTTTGCCTCAAGCTGGATGGATCCAACGAATTAGAGTGGGTTCTTGCTGCCAGAACAATCTCCGCACCATCACCATTCCCATTCGTTTTTCTTTCAGCTTTGGTGACTTCCTCTGGACCATCTGGCCATTCGTTGCCCTACTCATCTTCCTCGAGTCCGCTCGCAAATACTTTCTTCGCCTTTTTCCCGGCAGTTGGCTTGAGCGGGCGACGATGTACTGAGCATACAAATAATTGTGCACTCAGAGAAGTAATACTAATACTAATAACCGAAAAATGATAATGTCGTTGCTTTTTATCACACGAGCATGATTTTTAGAATATCGAGTTTTTTAACGACTTTTGAAATTTGAATTCAATTTCATAAAAATCGCAAAATATGCTGTTTTTTGATGCAATTCCTTTCCAAAATTAAAAAAAAAATGGATTTGCTCAAAATTGACCAAAATTCACTAATTCTAAGTCCATAACTTTTCTAACTTTAATTAGATTTTGAAGTGGAGTACCTCTAAATGATTATATTTTAATTCTTTAACAAACTGCACCATTAGTTAATTTTTTATTTTTTTTGGACCATTCTTTACAGTTTTAGTCATGTCACCCATTCCAAATTTTCAAAAAAAATGTGTTGGTTGAAAATTGACCATAACTTGCCTCCTAAAGTAATTTTGATTTAATGATTTTATATAAATAAATAAATAAAATTTCGTGAAAATCGTACGATTATGGCATATCATATATAATAGGAGCCGTTTGTATTACTTGTATGAACTATATTTTTCTGTTGTCTGCACACAAATGAACGAATTTGCCCCACCTTTTAGTTGCATTAAGCTTTTCGTTTTATGCCCCATCCATCCGACTGTATCTTTCTCACCTGAGCTATTTTTTGCTAGTAAAACGTAGGACATAAAACTCAGCCAAAGGGAGGAATCTGTGGAATGAAACTGAATCTCTGGAACTAATAGTCAAAAAGAGAGTGCCTTTCCTTATTGTTTTTTATGGGAGCATCATTAGACTTAAAGTTTAGGGCAAGAGCGCTTTTCCTTGTTACCTGGCATTTAAGTCAATGAGTAAAACTCTTTACGATTTATTTTTAAAATATTGCATTTTATTCGTGAATAGCTCGAAGCTGTGGTGGTGGTGGCGGTTTTTGTGTGGTTTTTTGGTGGTTGTGGTGGAATTTTGCAGAAATTTTTCACATTTAAGACTGGTTTAATTATTTAATTCGTTTTGCATATTTGACATCTACATTAATGACATGAGTAGGACCTTTCACGGATTTGCTTTCTTTGAACATCAATATTTTTTTGCATTAACTTTACGTTTACGTTACGCTGTAAATATTCGTTTTGGTTTTTTTTTTTTTTGATTAAACTTTCTGTGAACATTTATTGAGTAATGTTTTGTTATTGTATATCGGTTAACGCTATTTAAGAACTATGTGGTTTGTGCACAGTCAACCAAGTAACCGGGGAGCTAAAGTGAATTCTCGATGTGAAATCGGAACAGTCGGTACAGTGGCTCCCAAAGTAACCGACAGAGATCAAATTCCTATAGCTTGAATATCAATTCATCAATTCATACACTAAATCGAAGCATCGCAGTGAATTTGGGGGCTGGATTTGGAACATCGGACCAAAGACCTTTCCATGCATTATCCTTAAGTGCGTGTATATATAATCTGAACAACAAAAAATATACGTAACTCTGTAGGCGATCGCTGCTTTCGATGTTCTGAAACTTTCCGTTCTGAAACTGAAACCGAACTATCATATGTTATCTATCAGCTGTGGCTTTATCTATCCAATCCAAGGGTACTCAATGTGGAATCAATCAGGCAACGCAAGCTGAAGGCGGTGGGATCTCTCTGATCGGGGTTCTATCTCAACTTTCTATATCCTTCTACATTCTCTTATTTTCATTTCATTAATTCTCTTTTACTTTGTTTTTGTTTTTGGTTTTTGGTTTGACTTTGTCTTCGTTTTGTGGCCGTTAAAATACTTTAAAATTATTGTATTATCTCATTAATTTAGTAGTTTCGTTTGGTTTAATCTTAAGTTAATATAGATTTAAGTACACACATATATTTAAGTTTGTATATGCTTGTATACGTGTTCGTATGTATTGTATATATATCTTTTATGGTACTCGTGTTTTTTGGTATCTGCATTCGCATTCGTATTTGTGTGTATATTTATTTAAAGTAATTTGTTTAAAGTAATTGCGTTTACATTTATTTCTATTGAAGTTGCTCATGTTTGGTTTTAATTTGACACTAATTTTAGGTTTCAATTTGTTTAAAGTTTAAACTCTGTTCCATTAGATCGAACGTTTCGTTTTTGTGTGTGGTTTTTTTTTTGCCTAGAGGTTTGCATCTGTGGAAATAAAACATCGCATTGCAAAAAAGACGCTCTTCCGTTTATTCTCTGTAAAAAATAAAATCGTGTAGCACGAGCTCGAGATTTCGCTCGGATAAGTTCACAGTTAGTCCCTAAAGATCGGTATATAGCCTTACTAAGTGAAATGTACCATAGCTTTCGACTACGCAAACATCGCCTAGTAATACTCCACTCGAAGATCTCCTCGAGATCATCGCTAATCCTCGAAAGGCTGGTTCGGGGCAGGTGGTAATCGGTCAGATTGGTCTATCTGGGCAGCCGCAGGTGGAGCAGGTCACTGGGTTAGACGCCCTGGGCGAGGCTCTCCTTCGACAGCGCCAGGATCGGCTGGTCCACCGCCTGGTGCGGAATGATGAATGGAGAGGTCAGCATCTGCAAGGGCCTGAAAACAGAGCGAAAGAATTTTTCTGATTGCTCCCTCTGAACCCTGGAAAGTCGGCGGTGTACATTGCAACTCGCTTCCGTTGGGGCAACTCACTCAGCGAAACTGGTGGCCGTCACCATCGGCTGGCGCACCGAGTGCAGCGCCTGCGAATTCTTCGCCCTCGCCAGCAGACTCATCACCGTGCGCTTCGTGGGGTTCATTCCGGAGCGGGGTACCCCCAACAGGGGGCGCTTTCTTCCCAGGCCGCCACCTAATGCACAGAGAGAAAAAAAGATCATGTTTTAGTCACTTTTGAGATTTGTAAAATGTCAACTGGATCTATATTTATTTAAAATATGTCATAATCTATACTAATATTATAAAGAGGTAAAATTTGTTTGTTTGTTTGTTTGTTTGTTTGTTTGTTTGTTTGTTTGCAGGGAATAGGCTCCGGAACTACTGGTCCGATTTAAAAAATTCTTTCACCGATAGAAAGCTATATTATCGTGGAGTTAAATAGGCTATAATTTATTTTGAAAAAAATTAGGGATCCGTAAGAAAATTGCAATATTGTCGCATATAAAGTGAGTTGCTACCTCATCACACTGACAAACACGCTCCCATAGCATTTTAACTCAATTTTTGTGTTCACTGTGAAATTGTGAAAAAAAAAGAATTTTTATTCAATTTAAGTTGAACTGTGAAAATTATGTGGATCGTGCATTTGAGGATAAATTCACCACTCTGTCCATAGTCCAAAATGCTTACAGGACGACGTGCAAGCATTGGCCGCAGACATCCAAGCCAGCAGCCAGTATATTCACAAAACTTAAGCGAAGAAAGACAAATGAGCACATGGAGATCATTGGCATCATTCAATCGCATTGCATTCCAATATGACCCCACTGCGAACTACAGTGATAATGAAAATTTAGATATTGGACCAATGGCGACTATATACCGATATTGCAGTGCGTTAAAGTTTAAAAGAGAAACGGCTGGATTGTGCTGCGCAAGTGGAAAAGTCAAACTGGAAAAGTGTTAAATCACCATCTTTCTATACTTCCATATATTTGAAAAATGTTGCAATATTGACTTTTATGTTGTTAAATTGTGTTGACCAGCGAAGCGGACACAGGACCTCTAGTAAAATATAAAGATGATTTTCTTGTTTTAAGTGAGTATTTATAGTCGAGTTATTGATAAAAATATACCTATTTAATTCAATTTTCAAATCTCAAAAATAAAAAGAGTAAAATATTACAAAGTTTAGATTACAATATTACATTATTTGTCTTTTATATTTATGAGAGTTCCCATAATTTTATTTAAAAAAATGTTATCTAATTAAAATGGGCAATCAGAATAATTTTTAAGTTTTAAGTCAGCCAGAAGTAATCCATATCTGTGTGCTTGTATGTTAAACAATAATTACAACAATTCCAAATAATTTAATCTTTCGATAAACTGTATTTTGTTTTCCTTTTTTAATTTCTTTGAGTGTTGAAAGTACTTCATAAATGTTTCGTGGAGCCCAGCACTGTGATTTCTTTGTTCAGTAGCCCGGATTAGCTGCGGATGGCAGCCAGAGCCTCTCCTGCAGGACTCACCTATGTTGATGGTCTTGACGTTGCGCAGAGCGGGATGCAGGAGGGCGGTGCCCGGTGGCTCGAGCAGCGTGAGCGTCGATCCGGATGACTCCCCGTCGCCGGACAACTGGAGGGCGGCGGCACCCGCCTGGGAGGTGGGCAGTCCGGCCATGGTGGCCCCCACTCCGGTGGCCGGCTTCAGGAGTCCTCCGATTCCTGCGGCTGTCAGCTGGTGCTGGAGTGCCACTGCCATCGCTGTGGTGTGCACTATGGGTGGATGTGAGTGGAGAACGCAGTGAGTGGCAGCTAAAGGATTACTTTGAGAAATGGGAGAGTGGGGGGATTGGCCCTGGAAATCAATGCTGCAAATGCCCTTTTGGAAAGACCAACCCTGCTGCTTTTATTTTGTATCAGCAAAGGGTGAAATAAATAATTAAAGAAATACATATTTTCAGAAAAACAATTTTAAATATTTTATACAAAATGTGTCTATCTATTTTACCAATAATCCAGATTTATCAATATTTTGTAATTACAAAATAAACTAGTCCGAACCCTATTTTCTCTCATTCTAAATAGTTATTCATTGTTTATTCAAACAGCCATAAGCCTCATTAGGATTAACTAACCCAAACAGTTTTATGATAATAGCCTAATTTCAAAACGTTTACAATTAAAATTTCGAGTTTGAGTTGAATTTTAAATGATTGCCCATTGATTTTTATTTACATGCTTTGCCTCTAATTTTGAGTTGTTAACTTTCTACTAAAAGCCACAAACGTGCATAAATCAGCAGCTGCTGAATACTGTAAATAAAATGTTTAATAAAGTGATTGAAGTAATTTCCTGTGTAAAGTTGCATAATGTACATTTTCCTCCAAGTGCTATAATAATGTACAATCCCTTGGAAGGGCAAAACTCTCTTTTATACCATTTTTTTTTAATTTACCTATAAATTTTAATTTTTTAAAAAGTACCTAGTGTACATTAAGTAAAAACCCGAAGCCTTGTATGTAGGCCAGTGCAAACCTATAAAATTTATAATAACCTGTTATTGCAATAATGAAGTAATAATTTAAACTCGAACTCAATACAAGGTAATCCCCAGAAAGAGTATGAATTCCCCAATTGACTTTGCTCTCGACTGGAACGGGATTACGTTCATTGGCCCTTTCATGCAGTGCATCAGCAGCAGCAGTAATTTCCAATTAATAGCCACCATGGAGTAGGGATCTCGGAATCCGTAGTCCGGAGCCCTTTGTCCACTTACGTGCCGCTGCCGTCGCCGGAGTCGTTTGTCCGGAGAGGTGCTCCCCGCAGGTGGTGGCCACCTGGGCTCCTCCGTGGGCCTGCTGCAGCAGCTGGTGGAAGTGCGCCTGGTGGCTGTGCTGGTGGTGCGGCTGCTGCGGGTGGTGGTGCACCTGGCTGCCCTGGCTTCCGTGTCCGTGGGCGTGCAGGTGGGCGTGGTGCTGGTGCTGTTGCTGTTGCGGATGCGAATGCGGATGCTGGTGCGGATGCGGATGCTCGGAACTGGTGGTGCTGATGGTGGTGATGCCGCTGATGCCCAGACTCGCACAGCTGGAGGAGCAGTCGAGCTTGTCGACTGCGGACAGGCACTCCATGCCGCTGGCATCGTCCGATTTGTCATCGTTGGACGTGTCCATATCGGCCAGTCCGCCGCCCAGTCCACGCCCACTGGCCCCGCTCGAAGAGGAGGTGGCGCCTCCACCACCACCACCCCCTGGATTACTGGTATTGGTGGTCGGACTTTGTGAATCCTCCAGCGAGTGGGCTCCCAACGCCGGCGTCGACGTCAACGCCTGCATCTCCCACATTTGCTCCTGGCGGATGTCGTCGTGGTAGTCCTGCAGGGAAGAGACCAGATGAGCTATTCAGTGGTGGCCACCCATAAGGAATGTGTGATTTATTAGATGGCAATCGCAGCCACTCCCAGTTGGAATTGTTTCACCGAGTTGAAAATCAAATGGGAAAAGGATCTCGACATTTCACTTTAACTTTCATTTGCTTTAAAATATCTGATTTCTAACTTCTAATTTGAATAATAACTATACAAATCTATGCAACTAAGGTCAGCTTTAAATTAATTGAACAGAACTATCTAGATTTGTCCTCAACTTACACAGAAAATCAATTAATTTGCTTACATGCAAGTTGATATGCTTTTTAAAAGTGAAAGATTGTGTATTCATTTCGTAGTTTTCAAATTAAAAGATGAAAAGGTGAGCTATTCAGTGATGTCAACTCTGGGTTTTCTATTTATTAGCATAGAAGAGCCATTATTTTACTTTACACTTTATAGCATGTTGTCATCCTGTTCATATTTCACAGTTCTCAAGTTGAGAGATGATTATATGAGGGATGCAGTGGTGGGAACTCCAACATAAGAAACTTGATTTATTGGACGGGAAATGCAGGTGTCATCCCACGTTTAAAACAAATGAAGTAGGATCCCGACATTTATCTACTCACCGTTAGAACTTTAATAGGTATTTAATAAACACTTGTTAAAATTAGTTATTAGCTATTATTTTGTTGAGAATTAACTTACTTAGAACAGCACTCAATAGAATTTTAGTTTGTAGCAATTATTTTTAAATTAAAAAGATAATTTTAAGCCAATATTTCTCCCTTAAAAGAACTGTGACTAGTTACATTGATTTAATTTTTGTATCATGTTTCATTAAGAAAAGTGGTTAATATTCTTAATGAAACATGATATAAAATTTAACTGAATTCGTAAAATTGCTAGCACACTTATTAGTGATAATAAACTAAGAAAGTAAAATGGAAACATTTTGTTGTCCTCACAATTTGTAGAGCAACAAAAAGTAATACTTTGTTCGTATTTCTAAAATTCCCCCCAACTCCCACCTCTCAACTGCTCCCCCCAATAAAAAGAGTACTCATTGAAGCACAATAAAGCCAAGAACTCAAGCATTTGTTATGTGGCTCTTAAGTCAGGAATTGACGTACTTAAATCGAGTGATATTAAACTCTGGAAGGACAATGTTATATCCCAACTCAAGTAGGAAGTTTTTCCATTTTTTTTTTTGTTCGTCAGCTGTAACTTGGTCTTTCTTTTGAGCTACAAGCCATTGTGGCGAACCAAGATACTGTCCATCTCTGGTGGGATTAGTTGCAGAGCCGCAGGAACACCTCAGTCGAGCAATTAAATTTAATTCACGTTTCTCTGGCCGACGTCGCTGGCAATAAATGCGAATTTTATTGGATGTCAATTAAAAGTTTGTGCGCAGCCACGTTTCATGTGTCGCCGGTGGAACACCCTTTGAGCAGATGCCATTTCACTGCCCCCGGGAAACTCACATCGTGTATATATACCTATATATATATGTATGTGTAACTGGGTGTATCTGCGAGTGCTTAATGCAATTATGTGGGTGGCGGCGGGTTGGGTGTTGGGTGTGTGCGGATCCTGCGGCAGGTTGCGATAGATACACGCACCCGGGGAAACTCCTTTCGCAGGATACACATTTCATCAACCCCATTAACCAACTAACTCGCTTATGAATCTCTCGCAGTTTGCAATCGCATACAACATGTGTATTTGCTAGGATTTTCCTTCGCTTTTAGTGCCCATAGAACTGTCACACAAGATGTCCTTTTTATGGCACTCGCTGGCAAACATAAATCGTGATTGCAGATGCCATAAACAATTTACCGCCAGGTGGATGAGGCTTAAATATGTCACAAAATCCCCTCACACACCCAGACACACCCTCGTACACACACACTCCTCAAAGTAACCCCAGCAATTTATCTACATTGAAACAGTTTCTTCTTTCGTCGCCTTTGTTCTTCTTCTGTTGGGGATATCAAATAATTTCTATGCAAATTTTCAACGTGTGTAATCTGATCGGAATAACTCAGGGGGAGCAAGTCCCAGCCAGGAGACAGTTTTCAATGTTGCCAACAACAGCTGCCAGTCAAAGGTCGGCCAGGATGTCGATATATATTAGATTACCCGGCTGCCCCAACTTCAAACTGCTTCGCCTCCTCGAAACTGAAGTTGGTAATAATAGGGAACGGCTTTGGAGGAACAATCGCTTATGTGAGGGTGCGGTGTGAATTGAATTCTGTGGCAAATTATAGATCAAAGCCGGGGTCTTAAGGAATAATTTGCCATAAGCAGAATATATGACGCTCATTTGTTATTCCCCCCGTATTCCTGCAATACGGACACTGCCACACTGCCGGATACTCCAGATACTCCGGATAGATGGCCCCGGCATGCCGTTTAAATTGTTCCATGTCCAATCCCCACAATTCTGCTTGCATCTTAAAGAAGATATATAAATAAAGTATGCCGGAGCCTGGCAAGTGAGGATGATGCCCAGAACGTGCAGCCTCCAGGACTCGCAATCTCCCCGAATCCCCGTTTCCCCCAATAACCCCGCATCCCCGAGTCCCTGCATCCCCGTCTGCAGACTGCAGATAGTAAACGCTTAACATTTGTGTCTCGAGTGGATGGGGGGGTTGCGAGGGTGCACAGAGAGAAAACATGGGAAACATTGGGAACTAACAAATACATTAAGTGCTTAAATATAGCACGGGATATATGAGAACAAAATTTTATAAATAAAATTACAATCAATCTCAATTGTTTCTGCTTCATTTAAAAAAATATTTTATCCCTTTAACAAAGACTAAATAAGATTTCATTTTTTTGTAAATATAAAAATAGCTATTCTCTTTTCTAGTTTAATTAAAGATGCAATGCTATGAGGCATTCGTTTTGTTACAACGTAATATATAAAACATTCACCTTTTAGGCATTTAACCACTGGTATAAATAAATAATTTTTAATTGCCTCTCGCATGTTAGAAATGTTTTGTTGCTTTTCTAAACTTTAAAATAAAATAAAAAACGCCTTCTGCCTTCTGAATTGCACATACTTTAAATTTATTTAATATTCTTTTGAATTTAAAATCGAAAAAATAAATGCTTTTGCTTACTTGAATCAAATTGTTGTACCTCAAAATAGCTGATAAGTTTTGAGCAAGGAAACAACTCAATTTAAGTTGCGCTTCCTTTTACTAATTTCGAGTTAATTAGGAAACCAGCAAATGGAGTTCTACTTTCATCACATTTTCATTTCGCAGGGAACGTCTGAATTCTTGTTGTGTAGAGAGAAATTCCCCCTACACACGGTGGCTCCAGAATGGCCATGTTGTTGGTTGGCCATGGCTATATGGCGATGGCTATATGGCAGCGGCGATGGCGATGGCGTGTCGAGCGCCGCACAATGGCCAAAAGGAAGATGCCAGGCGAGTTCTCCACTTCGCCGAGAGGGAGGTGGCAGAAAGGACTTCGGATCGGGAGGAGGAGGAGAACCTCCGCCCACTTGAGTCCTGAAAAGCGGGGGGCAAATGTAACAATGCAATTTAGTCAGCGAGCGCGGAGAGCAGGAAACCCGCTGCATGCCACGCGAACACGAGGCAACCAGCACGGGCAACACGGAAGCTGAAGTCGATAACGAGCACAACCTTGGAGCAGCTCCAACACTCCTACATTCTTACACTCCCACTACTACACACCAGCACTCCTACTTCTTTGCTTCTACACTCTCAGAACAAGTTGCCATGACTTTCACAAATTTGACTTTAATTAAAGTCGTCAGTGAGTTCGGCAAAGTTTCGCCAAAACAACATAGTTTTCTAAAGTGGAAAAGCTACTGCAGCCATAACATGACATGCTACAAAATCCATTCCTAATCGAAAAACACTCATTTTACACAAATTAGTGGGAACTTTTTCAATGGTATTAAAAACCAGCTAAACTGCAAAGTATCTGGTACTTTGGCTTAAAACTTTTATTTCAATGCAAATTTATTTAAATTTCTAAAACTGATTAGCTTAGACTAAAATTCAAAACCGCTAACTTCTGATAGCCAACCTGAAAAGAGTATATTACAAGTATATTTTCTAACTTTCTGTTTTAAATAAAAACTTACAGATATTTAAATGGAAATTAATTCGATTTTGTAACCATGCTTACCATTCTAACTTATAATTCTTTTTGCACTTTACTGTCTTGACAGTTTGAATTTTCAATTTCAATTTCAATTGTACATTTTATGGCTAGTGCATTTCCAGAAAATCACTCCTCTTGATTTTTAAATCGAGCTCTTTGCTTCAAGTACGCTATTTCTTCGAGTGCCCTGCCTTCAGTCATAACTTTAAGACCCTTGTTCGGGCGAACTTTAAGATGCTCATTTGCATGTCCGCCGTACAAAGCGAAACTTAAATCATTAATGGGTATTAAACACAAACAATGCCGAGGGAGAGGGGCGGGGCTGTCCCGAAAAAGGTCGCCCCACTCAAGGACCCAGAGGAGCTGGAGTTCCTCCCCGGGAATTCAGAAACCGGACTCACCGGAACCAGAAAGCGGCGCACTTCCGCCAGCGCGTAGGCAATCCGGGCATGTGCCTCCGCCGGAGCGGCGAAGGTCGAGATCTCGACGTGCAGGTCCTCGAACAGGTGGGCGTAGCGGCTGTCCCCGCTGCCCCGCAGCTCCTCCTCCTTCCGCCGGTCCCGCATCGAGCCGCGTCCCAAAACGGCCATCTTGCACATGGTGTCCTCCTGCAGGCGCTTCATCGAGTTTCCCTTGGGTCCCAGCAGCTTGCCCACGAAATTGAACTGAATTGCGGCCGGAGAAAGGACGAGATGCAATGAAAATGTTTACCCACCGTTGATGGGTTTCGCAAGGATGTGGATACAGGGGATATATAGTAGACCTACCTTCGGATGATCCCGCACCGGCACTGCCACTTTGACCGCCACCTTCACCGGTTTGTCGCGTGTGATGTCCAGCATTTTGAGTTTCTCTGCGGAGGAAAAAAAGCGGGGGAATGCATTTCAGCTTAATGAGCGCGTAATTAAACGTGTAATTTAACTTTGTGGAGGCGTATTAAATGGGTAAAGCGGAAAAAGGAGGTAAATATTTAATAGCCAGCACCCGTTGGTGCTGCAAAAACTCACAAAGTATCAAATTTGTGAAGTGAGTTTCCTGCTTCTGCTGAACATTAAGTAAATAATCAGACTATAATATTAAACAAATATTGAGTTTCGCTCTCATTTTCTCAATGTAAGCTAGTTATTAAACAAATAATGGATCCCCCTACTTTGAGTTTTAAACAAATAAAAAGAGTAATTTGGCACGCCAAGTGGAAAGTATTTAGTACCCACATCGAGTTTTATGTTTTTGGTGCAGAAAAAGAAAACCCAAGATCAATTATATTAAACGGTTTTAAAGTGCACTCGTTGTTTAACATGATGGTAATTATCTTAAAGACATAGAGACTTTCAACATTCCATTTAAACTCTTTAATATGCAAGTGCCAAAAACATTGCATAACCCTACACCATTTCACTGATTTAAAATATGTAAATTAAATTAAATAATACACTAATTAGGTCATATTATAAAAACTTCAAAACAACGCAGAGGGCTGATTTTAAATGAGCCCAAATATAATTACAAAACAATGTCAGCATTGTCGAAAAGGTGTCATAAATAAAAACTCGGGTTTTAATTTGGCCGCTAATTTTATGCTGTCCATTGCATAATTGTGCAATAAATAGATGGTAAATTTATGAAAACAGAGTACTTTAACATGTATTAGGAAAATACCTTTAATAGTTTCGTTAATTACCATAAAAACTTATTTAAATGCTTTCAAAGTAAAATGGTGTTGTAGATAAAAGCTTAAATTTAATACTGTTGATTGTGTAATTGACCGTGCACATATATTTATATTCAACTTATAATAATAAAGTAGTTAAATACTTTTATAGCGCTTTAATAATTTCGTTAATCACAACTTTGCAAAGTTCATTGCAAATTCTGTAACATTTTGTTAATCTGATTAATATAAACGAATTGCGAAACATATCCCATCAGCAATTCCGTTTTATTTACATGTGTACACCGAAAGTTAATTTAATTGAGACATTACTCCTTTCGAAATCGTGTGGAAGGACTTTAAGACAGAGTCATTTATTTTCTGAATGCTGACTAGTGAATAAGTGTGTAGATAAGTATATATTGCGCACTATTCACGCCACCATCTGCCCTCATAAGTATGCCACAGGCGGAAAGTTCATCGGATTATCTCGGGCTGACTTGTGTCACCTGCTCACACATCCGCACCGGCATCCGCATCCACATTCGCATCCACATCCGCACTCGCACACGCATTCGCATCCGCATTGTCGCATCTAGCACCTTCACGTATCTGGGATCTCCAATCTGGTATCTGTATCTGTATCTTTAGCTGCCCGCAGGAGACATTTGCGACATTTGTAAACATTTGGCGGAGCCTTAAAGACAGCTGCCATGGATGCGAGTCCTTTTCTTCGCCTCTCCTCCTTGCGGAGCTTTCTCTCAGTTTTAGCTGTTTGTAACTAATTAAGCAAAATGCTTCTGCACACACACAAACATATACAAACCCGAAAAAGGAGGTGAAGGAAAGGGGGAAGGAGAGAGAAGTAGAGGGATTGGGCAAGTTGGATAAATCTGTTGACAGGCCCAAACATGAAAACATTTTTGTTTGCTCTTCAGCTTGGGCTCAAGTCCTGGCAAGGACTCACGGGGACACACAAACTCGAACGCACAGAAAGACGACGGCGGGGGGGAACGCACACATACACACACAGTCAGTCTCACACCTTGAGAAACACATACGCACTCACACGCAAACACACATTCAGCGGCATCGTCACTCATTAGCAGGCGAAATGGCTTTCTTAACACCTTTTGTCGTTGCCTTTTGCATGAAATGCAACATTTGCCTGCACCAGTGCTGCCACATTAGCTTATTTATAGCCAAGTACTAAATGTTAAGTCCTAAAACCGTTTTATTCTTTAGCCAAATAATGTTATTTGGAAAGTTTTTAATAAGTTGGGATTTTTTAGTGTCGACGGTCATAATATGACATTTATGTCTTTTCGTCTTTATTGCTACGTAGTATTTACTCTTTACTGCCAATTAAACTATATCGACATAAGGACCCCTATGAAAGTTCATTCAAATGAAGATAACAAAAGTTGATACCCTAAAAAAGTTAGAAAAATACTTCAGAAGCTTAATAAAACTTATCATGCTGTTATAGATTCTTTTTGAAAGTTGACACTGATTTAAAATCATAAATTCACAAATATTTTTAAAGAATAACTAAGCTTTAAGTGAAAATGTTTTTTACCTATTTAGATTTTTAATTGAGTAGTTTGTCTCGTAAACTTCCAGTAAAAAAATGGCAAACATTTTTAAAAGCAAACATCACAAAATAAAATTTTATTTCCCCAAACAAGTCTGATTCTGAATCGCTCGTAAATCAAAGCCATTGCCTGTCGCAACCTGGAGTTGGCATCACTGCCAACAGGCCCGCTTGCCCCCCTTTCTTTTTACCTGCTTACCGCCCACTCTGCACCACCCACCTTGCTCCGCCCACCTTGCACCGCCTCCTCGCAGACGTCCTTTCTGTCTCGCTGGCAGCTTCTTGTCAGTGGCAGCAACATGCATAAGTAGCTGGCAGTTGTCAGCGGAGAGCACTCTGATGGGCTTCAGGTGGGCGGGGAAAGGTGGGCGGAGAAAGGGGACAGCGGAAAGGAGAACGGAGGGAGAGGCGTGGCAGGTGCTATTTCAGGCGGTGGCAGAAATGCAAGTAGGTGAAAGCACAGATATCTGTGTTAATTGTTTGGCATTGCGGACCGGCCATCATAATATTTATGCTTTCCAGGGAGAACAAAACAGAATCTTATCTCGTTTTCCCCCTGGGAAATCAGTATTCAAACTTCGGCTTGATTAATTACGCTCATCAGACCGAGGTGGAATATCCTAAAAGGATATCCGTGTTCTGCCCCTGCCCGCTTGTCCCACAGAAATTAGATTAATTTCCATTTCATTCAGCATTGTTTTGTAATGCTCATTCGAGGAAAACGGCCAGAAAAGTTCTGTTGTTTTTCCCCCTGACACGGACTTTTCAATTAGCGCCGTCTCACCAGCAATTAATTCCGCCCGAAATAACTTTTCGCTCTCGCTTTTATTTGAAGTAATCTATGCATATTTGTTTTAATTTAACAATATTTTCACAATTGTCGTTTCGTTTGCGGGGGCAACGAATCGATTAATATGCATTCAGCGCAACGCTAGCGGAAAATACCTTTGGCCATCTTGTATTTAAAGCGACGTTAATTGGTCTTTTACACAATGATTATGTAAATTTATTGATTTACCAGCGCTGCTCGAAAGGGCAATAATAATAATAATTACTTTTCGCTCACAGCCATGACAATAATTATTATTCCATTCGCCCGCATCGCTGGAAACTTTGTTTTCAGTTTTCCCCGCCGAATTTCAGTTCAATTTTGGCCGGGTTTTTGGTCGCTGGCCAGAAGGTGCGAGCAAATTTGGCTTCCAACGTCGGCCGCCATCTAATCTCCCACTAATTTATGGCCAGCACGGCCATTAACGTAATTAGGTATGCATTTCAGGCCACCAGGTGACCCCAACCAGAATGCAACCAGAACGCGAGTCCTGGCAGCCTTTTAGATCCTGAATGGGGAACACTTAACTAAACACTTGATGGTGTAAATCAGATTTAAATATCAACTTGCCGCGCAGCCACAGACTTTGGAAACTAGCATTTCCTTTCCCGCCTTCTGGTTCTCCCTTTAGTTTTTCCCCGGCATTTCCTTGGCTTTTCCGCCATGCTTCCCTGGGGGCAGGTTGCTAAACATTTGCTCAGTCACTGCAATTGTTTCCGCTGCCACTTTTTGTTGCCTTATTCCCCGTGTTTTGTTTGCCACGCCGCCGCCCGTTGCCATATTTTCCACATTTTCCTTTTGCGCGCCGCCTTCTTCGTTTGGCCTTTCCGGGTCATTTGCTCGTCCGGAAAAGCAGAAAACACTGTCCTGGGCTACGGCTACTGCCTACTATGGATTCCGGACTTCGTAGCGAGGAGTCAGGAGAGCGGAGTCCGAAGTCCATAGTCCTTTAGCCATCTGCCCTCCGCTTTTCCTTAGTCGCTGCCCTGGGGGCAGGCACTTGAGCCAACACCCCCTTAACCCCCGGAAAATGCCCGGGAAAACCCTCTTCAGAGCGATGACGCTGTCTTGGGCATGATATATAAGCCTTTTATTTTCCCCAACCTCTGGCACCTGACTTCACGGAGAAAAACCGAAGAGAACAATCACGCCTGTCACAGAACTTCTGAGACAGAAGTCTGCCGAGATTTCATCTGAAAAGTTTTGGGCCACTCAAAATATGTCATAATATACTCATTGTGCTTAAAAGCTGGTGGGGGTTACATAGTATTCTTTACTTATTTATAAAGACTAAATAGAAAGGATTTAAAGGAAAAACAGCTATATTCACGTTGTGTTACATGTCATAAACTTTTCCGTGGGAATTCATTTTCATGAATATTCTTTCAAAAAGCAATATTCTTCTTTTTGTATCCTGCGTACACTCACCAGCTTTTAATTTCGAGGGTTCCATGAAATTCTTCTGTGATTTATGCATGTTTTTATATAACACACAGGAATATCACCTGTGCTCGTATGCCAAAAACTATTTTACAACCATAACTATAAATCTGCCATGGAATTGATACGTAATAACTTGAGAAGCTCACAACTTGCTATAAAATAGTAGTGTTCAGTTATATATTAAATATGCAGAACAGAATTAATTGAAACTGAGCGAAAGAAAAAATATTAAAATTAAAAATGTAAATAGTCATGTTATTTTAAAGCTTCATTAAATTTTCCTTTGATTTGTAAATACAGTTTATAGCTTCGAGATGACAGAAAAATTGAGAATCTGCAAATTCCAAGAACTCGTGAGCCACGAATTATTTTGTGCCATTCAGTTTTAGCTAAAAAATATGAGAAGCTCACGTTCCTCTTCATAAGTATCGATTGGTTTTTATACACACCAAAGACTGTAGTAAAATAAGACTTTATTAAAATATGACATCGAATATTAAGTATACCCAAGAGCTTTAAATTCTCTTGTAATGTATGAACACAGCAACATGTCACAAAATTCAAGCTCTAAACTCCAGGTTACATGCTACCTTGTGGCAACATTTTCTATAACATCACCTGTGCACGTATGCCAAAAACTATTTTGTGTAAATATGCCATTCTGTTCTTACGCTATAACTTGTGAAGCTCACGTCCTACTTCAAAAGTATCTCTTTCAATTTTGCGAATACTTATTTACACACAAGAGACTTTATCGACACTGAGTGAAATGCCAAAAGAAAAGCTGCAGCAAAAATAAAATGTTTTGGCAAAAATTGGGAAGCAAACAATCTGCTTATGGCAAAAGCTTAAAAACAATACAAAACTGGGCGATAAGTTTTTATTGAAGAATATATATTTGGCCAGTTTTAGGAATATTTTTGCTCTGTGTGGACTTGAACAAAGGTCACGTGGGAGTCAAGTGTATGATTCTGTATGCGCAAATTATTCAATTTCAAAGCGAAGAGATTTCCCCTTTGCCTCTTTGCCCCGCTGACCGTTGGCCATTTGGCCATTTGGCCATTTCAATATGGCCCAAAGGTCCTGCCGGTTTAATCAACATTTCGTCGGTGTTAATGTCCTTGGCAATTTCTCGGCTCGTGGCCGAACCATTGATGGACCATTTAAGCGATTTTCGACGGGACACCACCGATGATACCTTTCCCTGCGGCTCCCGATGGCTTAACATTTCCCCGGGGACGGATTACCACGGAATGCGTCTCGTTAGCCGAAACAAAAGTAAAAATAATCATAAAAGAGAAACACGAGTTGGCGGCGGCGTCGACGGGACCAAAAGGAAAGTCAACTTTCGCCCAGGGGCTTACATGCAAAGGGGGAGAAATTGGGTGGAGAAAGGGGGGTTGGGCGGGGGAGGGACGAAGACTAAACATTCGCCACTGCTTTCTCCGCTTGTTTATTATATCCCCCTTTTTTTATGCTCATTTCTCTTCGCTCCACTTTGCGTTCTCCCCGGCGACAATCTGTAATCCAATGTTGCCATTTTTTTGTTTCCTCCTCGCTTTTTTGTTTAAATTTCCAGCATTGCTCGGATTAGATTCAAAAGGGAGCAGCTACAAAAGTCAGCTTTGATGGATATAGCCCAACGCTTCTAGATTTTCACCACCCCTCTATCCCTTTTCCCCCCCATTTTGATTTCTTTGTATTTGTATTTTCCTTTAAAGCTTAGATGCTCCCTCCTTCTGCTCCTTCAGTTTGAATCGAATCGAATTTTTGAGTTCAAATGAAAGGCAAAGACGACAAATAGTTTTGTTTTCGCACATGACGTAATCGACTGCTGTGTGTTTATGATTAAATTTACCCCCAACCAGGCAGCAGGTTTTCCCAGCCTGGAAAATCGCTATCAGTATCAGCCAGTGTGACGACGACAGTTTTTACGACGGATGCCAGGATGCCCGCTCGCTTTTATGTCCTTCCCTAACTTTTGCGTAAACAAGTCGAAAGTCGAAAAGGTGGAATAGCAGAAAAAATTCGCATTTCCCCCCATCCACAGAGCCGTAGAGCCGGGAAATTCCGTTGAAGAGGAGCATGGGGTTTTCTAAATGCCCTCAGAGCATATATGAAGGTGGGTGGTTGGTTAAACACAACGGTGGTGCTGGTGGTTCTGATGGTGCTGCTGCTGCTGCTGGTGGTGGTGGCTCCTCCCTCGTTTACTCTGTGTCCTGTTTGACTTTCTTTTCCTTCGTTCCGGACTCGATTCCAACTGGTACGGAAAAAATACACTGCCTTTCGGAACTATAAGACAGTTCAAGGGACATTCGACAATTCGGAGGAATAGAAAGCGAATAGATTCAATCGCTTTGTCTCGATTTCCTTGATTCGGCAGAGTAGCTTGAACCATTCGGTGATTGCGATTTTTGGGATTTCAGTAAATCGGCTTTTCATAAAGAGGTGGTTGATTTGGAAACTATAGGATAGTTCAAGGAGTAGTTTATCGAAAAAGGGATTCACAATTGCTGGTTATCACGCCTATATGTAAGCAATATTGATTTATGTTGCTGATATTGTTTAAAAAAATGGTTTGTTTACAAGTAACTTAATTTGAATTTTACTGATTGGATAAAAATGTTTAAGTACTTCACCCACCGTTTTTTAAAATAAAATTAATAAACATTAATTAATCAAATTAATCAAAACTAAAACCAAATTGAATATTTTCAAACATAAAATTCAAATAAAATTTTGTTGATCCTTGTAAAATGCATGACTGCCTAAAATAAAAAACTGAAAACTATTTTATCAACTTTTTGAAGTATGCCCCTACTTGTAACTTAAATTGAAATGTACTTTCCAAAAGGGGGAAAAAAACTTTCCCCAAAATCAAAACCACACTGTATGCCGCAGACAGTTTATGTCATCGACTTTGGCAAATTCTCGGCAGTTGTCGGCAATTATATAATCCACATACCTGAACCTTTCAGGGACCTTTCCTCCAGCGCACTTAAGCCAGCTTTAGCATCCATCCTTTGTTGCTTTTGTTGCGGTGACTGCAAAGTGAAAGAATGTGAATAATCTATATGAGCATGTAATAATAGTTTGAGGCCAAAGGGATTTGGTCCCTTTCAAGTTTTTCAGCTAAGCCCACAACTAGGAACCCCCCCTTACCTTCCCTTCCCTTTCCTCCTTATTGGTCCTTTAGCCAACATCTTGCGGTAAGCCCGTGTAAAAAGCTTAAGGAAAACTTTTGAAAATTTTTATCATAATGCAGCTGACAAAAACGCCCCAACATTGTAAATACTTAGGAAAGTTGCGGGAGGGGCAGAAAACGGGGGCATTTTGTTTCAAATCTGTTGATAAGTTCCATAATGAAATAAGCCCGGGCAAAGTTGGTAACGATTTCTTTCTACGCATATTCCCAAAAGACAATCGAAAGTTTGCCTAACCCCGCGTGGAGTGAACTTTGCCGAATCTTTATGAATATTGATTGCAGCCGACGGTGATCCTTGGTCCCTGTCAATCTGTTTGTGGATTGCGGATTGGGTTTCACTGCCGTCAGTGATTGAACCTCTCATCGTTATCCTCAACCTCATCCTCTACGCCGGTGGTGTTCCATTCATTCCATCCATCTGGGGGAAACCAAACATTTGCCCCATTTCGAGTGCCGAGTATCGGTTTCCCCAGTCAGCAAATATCAACGAGGGAGTCCTCTTGTTCCAAACAAAATTCAACTGAACTCCACTCATATCATCCATTCCCTGAGAAGTATATATGTTGATGGTTGTTGTACACTTGGGTGACAATCGGAGCGAAAGCGGTGACCCCGATTCTTCTTTGGGCTTAGGGATAATTGGCCAGTGCGCCCCATTAAATTCTGGATGGCGATAGCAGCATCCATCCGCCGATTCAGAATCTCCGCTTGAGCGTTAAATCATAAAACCTGAGCGAAAGTCGTATAATTTTCAGTGCCATAAAACACTCAGTCACGCTGCTTAATTGCCTTTTCAGGATGATTTCAACTATTTACCGGGGCAATATCCATCCATCTGGCCACGCTTTTGAATTTAAGCCAAGTTACCTGGCAAATTGATGGACGGCCGATAACGAGCGCAAGTGGGTTAAAGTTCTTAAAATTAATGACGGCTCAGGCGCCCCCGAAAATCTGCGCCAATGTTTGTGTTTTACTCCTGGTTTTAGTTGTTGTTGTTTTTTATTGTTGTTGTTGTTTTTGTTTGTTGTTGTTGTCTTTTGCCTTCTTTGCCTTTCTTATTCTCTGGCTCTTCTGGCATTTTCCCTGTTTTCGCAACTAAGTTTGACGGATTTGTGCGCAGTTTCAGATTAATGCTGCGATTATTGTTTACCGTTGGAATTACGCACAGTGGGGCAAAAGGGGAGGTTGTTTGCATACTTACTTAGTAAATCTTATGGGTGGAGTGAACTTTTTTTCTAAAAAAGGTATTAGCTTTAATTCCTAAAATACACACCACAGAACAATACAAAATACTTGAAATAATAAATAAATATTTCTCTTCAAAAACTTTTATAAATTCACTGGGGTAAATAGAAAATGTTGTAAAAATTGAATAGCAGAGGTATATAATAAAAAATCTAAGTTGAGAAGTATACTAAGATACTATCAAATAAACTTTGAAATTAATCCCTTTACAAATTTTACAGATTTCTTCTTACTTGCTTAGTTTGCAGTAACTTTAACACCTTTCAGAAATACTTGCAGATCGTATTTAAATTTTATATCCACTCGAGTGCTTCCTCCACTAACCTACTCCACTTGCTTAATTTTATCCACTGTGCAAGGACGGCGAGCGCCTTGTGTTTCTTATGCAAAATTTAACCCAGTGCAGAGTAGGTCGGTCGAGTCGGTCTGTCGGTCCTTTGGATCGGTGGGGCGGATGGTTTGGGGCGCTTGGCTGGTTTGCTTTATTCATTCCCGCTCCTCGAGCGACCGTCTCCTGCCCTCTCGCTCCCGCTCTTCCCTCTCGCTCCCACCTTGGCACTCCCTGTCGTTCCCTCTTGCTCCCACCCGCTTGTCTTTGTGTAGCTCGGCACGCACGATTTAAGGATAACGAGGATGGAATGCAGGAAGCGAGGCAAATATTTACACAGTTGGATGATTTAGATAAAGAAGACATGAACATGAACCATAAAGCGAACGGAGAAGGCGACAGCGGCGGCGACTGGAAGTGCGGGGAATGAAGAGATATCGGGACTAAAGTAAAGCCCAGGACATCATGGAAACTGGGACGGACATCACAGGAGGGAAAGCGAAGGAGGTTGGGTGGGGGGGCATAAAGAAATTTGAATACAATGCAGGGGATTTAGACGATAGTCGCAATTGCCTAGCGCCACTTCATGAAACAAGAAATCGTAATCCAAATTAATGGCATTATCTTGCCGGAACTTCCGTATCCCTTTCTTTTTTTTGCGGATGGGTAAAAATTAATATGAGCATCACGATGGAATTGGCAAACGAATGCAATTGAAGACAATTAAGTTACCAAACAAGCCGCCTTTGATTTAAAGTCCGATACGGCATATTCAGCTCTTTAGTATGCAGAGCAATGTTCACCTGGATAATTTATTCAAGCGAATATTGCAGTCACAGTAACATCAGGAAAAATGAAAAATAAAAACCAAATGGAAATGCAAATACACACAGCACAAACAAACTCACACATGCAAGGCGGGGGAAAAGGGGGAAGGGGAGGGTTGGGTTGGAAAACTCCGTATATCCCCCGCCCACCCACATTTTCCACCCATTTTCCTGCAGAGCCATTGCTCATCCTGCGAAACGGGCCCACTTGAATTCTGTGTATCTGCATTTTCCCAGCTACGTGTCAAATCCGTCTAAAAGCCAAAGGGCTCGCATCTGCATGTAAATGAATGTATAACATATTTCAGCAGATTCGCACAACATTTGAATTATTTGGGCATTGTGTCAACATTCCAGAATCCATAAATCCCGACCAGACGATGCATAGTGGATCGAAGTGAATGGAAGTGCAGTTCACCAGAAATCAAATCGGGGCGCCATCGAGCTTTCATCTTTCATCTAAGGACCTTTCCACTCCCCCATTTTTGCTCCTTTTTCTTGATTCGTTTATTTGTTTTCCCCGAGTTTATTTGACCAGTTGGTCAATATGAAAATGCGAAAATGAAATATTCAAAATGCCTTGGAGAACGGCGAACGGAAAAACACCCCATTCCATCCCTCCAATTTAACCAATCCACCAGCGAACAACCCTTTCGGAGTGTGTTTGCCTCCTAAATGTTAGAGGAATTCCTGACCGGAAATTGTTTCACAAGCGTTGGCCAATTAATTTAAAAAAATAATGGAACAATTTTTTATGCACTTTTTACACTGCAAGAATGGAACAATGACGCTGTTTTTACGCTGCGGCTTACTCTTTAATGAAAAAGTGTAACGTGTTTGATACACTTAATTGTAATTGACTTTTAAAAAACATCAAAGGTTTTTTAGTGCAAAATATGTTTGCTTACAAATTTTATAGTCACAACTTTACACTTGAAAATATTGACTTGTATATTTAGTCTTAGTGAACATTTTTATAAATTTGTAAATTAGTTCTATTTAAAGTATGTTCAAACGTATATTTTAAAAATCTGCCATGGCTACACTACACTTGTCAACATTAAACATTTATAAAATAAATGCTTTAAATAATTGTTTTATTTGTTAAGACAAATGTGGTTTATTGGCATTAAAAAATCTTAGAATTACAGATTCAAACTTGTTCATTTTTGTGCTCATTAAAGATAAAAAGTAATCCAACTTAAGCAATTATAAAGCTAACAAAAATATAGGACAACCAAGTCACAGGATTAGTTTGAAAGTTTTTTAAGCAATAAAGTTTTTTTCAACTGCAACAAAATATGGAAATATATTTTCAACTAAAATATTCAAGGCGGGCGAAGAAGCCTCGCAGAATTTGCTTATTTAATGGACTGCGGGGAAATACTCAATCAAGAGCCCCGAGCTCGGACCTGATTTGAACCACGGATTTTTAAAGTACAGAACGGATAGGGCGGATGGCCATTAAAGTGGTGTCGTTGATTAATCGATGCGGTGGTTATCAAAGCCGCATAATCGAACATCCCGCAGCGCTGCAGTGCGGCAATGCATTTCAGAAATTGATTTATGTGGGTGTGCATTTTAAATCGGCCAAACTGGCAACGGTCAGTTTGCACCATTAATCATATACCTAATCTGGAATTCATGACTTTTTGCCCCCCCCTTTTCTAATGAAGCACAAAATAGTTGCTCACTCCTGTGGGAATTTTTCGGGGTCGTGGCCCAGGAAAGTTGGCTTTTAAAAGCTGGTCGTGCTGGAGGGGCGAAAACAAATTCATAGACGTGTCCTTTATGTAATACGTTCGGCAAATATGCATCCAAATGTATAATTCAGCCACAAAAAGTAAAACTTTTCCCTTTATTCTCGAATAAGTTGGCCGCAAAACCCAAAAAAGGCAATGCCAAAGAACCTTTCGCCCTCGCAGGCATTCCTTCATAAATAATTTCATGATTCCAAATACCATTTCCTTTTTTGTTTTTTGCTTTTTTTTTTGTTTTGCTACTCGACTCGGAAAAGGTTTTGAGGTTCAGGTTGAAGTCTCGGTCTCAGTCGCAGTTGAGGTTGAGGTTTATGGTTTATGGGACCTCGGGGTTCACCTACATTCTACGGCACACGAGCGCACTGACTTAATAAATTAGTGCTCATCAATAATCATCTGTGTAATAATTTATCAGAATTAGTTATATTTTCGGCCAGGTCTGAGCGGAAATCACCAAATAAATGGCTTTCCACTCTATTGCCCGGCGAGAGTGAGATAAATCAAAAGCAATTACATTCATTCGTTCTCGTTTATATGACTGCCCCGCCCAAGGATTCCCCAGAATCGACTCCAGCCTCCGGGGGAATTAGTCCGGTTCGTCCTGTTGGACCTTCGACTTTGGCATCGACATCGAAAGACTGGACACACACAAACACACACACAAAGAAACACACACAGATTATTTCCCCGCTGGCTATTTGTAATTGTGCCTTGGCAAATAACCTGCCATCGAGCCACTCGAGCCGCATTCCAGGTGAATAATTCAGTTACTTTGCCCCAGCCCGTAATTAAGTCGTAACAGGTGTGAAAGAGCCCCACATTTCATTTCATACACTGCGGAACGTGACCCAATATTTACCTAGTTAAGATGAAATTATACCCAGATTGAAAGTAGACCTTCTGTTTCCCAATGCTGCTGCTACTTTTGCTGGTTTTTGTTTGCTGGCTGCTGGTTTGCTGGTTTGTTTTTAATCCTCGTTGCTGTTGGCGAACATTTGTCTCAATTTTGCACAGTCACTTCAATTTTTCACTTTGCCAAATGACAAATGCCCGGGAGCGCTTATTTCATTGCTTATTCATAGGCCGTAAACATTTCGCGCGGGGAAATTCATTGGGTGGCGGCTGATTAAAGATGCATGCCTAAGGTGCGACGCCTGGTTCCGCTTTTAATTTCGAGGCTCACTCGACATCACTCCACTCCATCGTATTCCCACTCAAGTCGGATTCTCCCGCGGGAGATAATGTCATCCGATTTGGAGAACCGCAAGGATCCAACTGCTTGGTCCTGGCCCACCGCCCAGACTGGCTCTCCACCTTTTGGCCACAGAAAACGCCAGCGGAGTGGCGATGGCGACAACAACAAACTTTCACTGCTCAAGCTAAAGTGGATGTGGGTGGTGGCCAAAAGGGGGTGGCCGTGCAGCACTTGACACAAGATAAACAATTTGTCTCTCTTGGGCAACTTGGCGCCAAACACCTGAAGGTGGAACCCCTCTTTCCGTGTGTGTTTGTATTTGTTTTTGTGTCCTGTAGCACTCCTCCGAGTTGTTTTTTTTATTTCAGGGCAACCGCATTCCGGAGTTGGCTGAACCGTTCCGCTAAGAGCCCGACGCGCAACTGATGCCAGCTGAATGTGGCCAGCATTCGGGAGACCCCAACAACTGACAACTGTGGATGCTGATTCTGCGCAATTCTCCCCGCAAGTGGAGCTGATTGCCCCATACTGGGAACAGTTTTCCGATTGCTCCACGATAATGCAGGCCAGATGTCCTGTGCGTCGGCATTTCCGCTGTACTTTAAAATGCACACGGACATAATTACTTTCGGTTTTGGCCTGCGATTAGGCGGATGCCGCCTGGTTGCTGGATTGGCTTTCATCATTTTCGGGCTGCTTGGTTGCATTTTCAGATTATTCCGGCTGGAGGAACGGGGGTCTCAATTTTTAATTCACTCATTTGGGGTAAGGATTCTTGGCTGCTGCTTACGTTTTGGGATTAGGACTGCGAATAATTTTAGAGCTAATTAATGGATGATCTACGAAATTTTCCGTTAAGAAAAGTATATTTTTAAATTATTTTTATGATTATTAAAATACAAATATTAATAAAAGTTAGTTTTTAATATAAAATATTTTTCTTCAATTTATGTTGTAAAATCCAAGTTAGTTAGTTTTGGAATCTTGTTGTTCAAATATCGTTTTATAATGAACTGTTTTTGATATGTTGTTGTTCTTAGATTATGTATAAAATTCAGAATTCTTAAACATAAATAATTGGATCTTGTTGTTGTTTAAACATTTTCAATATAGAATATATGAACTGGTCACTCAATTCTGATACTAAATTGCTACCAACTCTTTTTCGTAGTTGTGAATAGTGGACAAATTTAACGAATTTATCAAGCCATGCTAAATTCGCTTCCAAAAAAATATAAATCAAAAACCGCACATGGTTGCCCACAAATAATAAAAATCGCTTTTTATTTTGTAAAAAAAAACTAATCAAATTTGTGTTCAAAAGAAGAGCATGTGTTCTATGTTCCGAGCACTATTTTCTAAAGTACAGCGCTGCGAGCATCCTTTTTCGCCGCGGAAAAGCGTTGTATTTTCATGCAAGCAAATGCTCTGGCAAACGAGTTGCATAACTCCGAAAAAGAATCGCTCCGCTCAAACCACATGCAAGAATCTCATTTCGGCCAAATCGATCGATCTGCGAGCGGGAAATGGGCGGTTTACATTGTGTTCGGTGGCTGCCTTTAACCGAAGCCAAAGCAAATTTACATTCAAGTTTTTCGGCAGCGTTCTCGGACCACAGACAACAAAAAAAAAGCAGGAGGGGAAAAACGAATGGCTGAGAGAAAGGAGAAAAAGTAGTAGAACTACAAGCCATATGTACGTAAATTCGGGTAACCGTGGCCACAATGCCAGTTGCCAGTTATCCTGGCAACCCCCTTTAAAAGTGCACCCTTGTTTATTGTGACCAGAGTGTCCTGCACCTCCGCATCCACATCAACATCCTCGTCCTCGCACTCCTCGTTCGCCCGCTACCAATTTAGCCGAATACAAAACGCTTTAGGGCCCTATTTGGATACCGTTCAATGCACCAGGGACTTTTTCCATGTATGACAAACAAACATAAACATTGTGGCCGAAACGGAGACCCGCACCCAGAGTATCGCATCCTTGGTGTCGCCTCCATAGGCAGTGTGGGTGGATATATGTTTGCGTGGCGCACTCTAATTAAAATTTGTGCCGCCGGCTCGACTGCAATGCTTGCTAACTGTTTTACGAGGTTACAGCCAAAAAAAAAAAATACAACCAGAGAATTTCGAGAAAAATGTGCTGGGAAAAAAAAGATGCTAAACACGAACGGAAACTAAACAATGTCCGAGGGCCTCAGAAAATTTAATAAACTTGTGCCCTCGGCGATTTGTACTCGTAATGCCTGAATGAGCTGCAAACTCGTTGGGCAAAGGACTTTTAAGCCAGAGGTGCGCATGTGAGTGGGATTTCATTTAGAAGCGATTCACTTAATAAAATATGAAATTATTTCACTCACGTGAAGTGTGCGTCCAGAATTTCAAAGTATTTCAGGTTTTCTACATCGAAATCCACTCCACTTAAAACAAAAACCTTTTACCTTCAATCGGCCATAAATTAACTTAATATATAACAATTATGAGAAAAAAGTTAGGTCCATTATATAGTTATCAATGTCCAAATAGATTATTGGTTACAATGAATGGTTGCTGGTATTTTAACTACTAATTTAATAAAGTTTCTTTAAAACCCAATAAAATTAATAATTATAGAGATCAATCTAAACCAGAATTAGACTTGGATTCCCAACAAAAAGTTACTAAGCTTCCATCTCGAGCAAAAAGCCCAAGATCAAACTAATCGAAGTGCATAATTTAAGTGCATTACCTGACCATCTTTGCGCATTAATTGTGCATTCCATGAGGTTTAATTGCAGTTAACTTGCGGATGTTCAACATGCGATGACATTTGTTTGATGTGCCGGGAACACACACGAAAACAAGGTCGACAGTTGATAGTTGTGTGGTCGAAATCCCTCTTGGTTCCCCCCAACAAGATGCAAAGTTTTAATTGATTTCCTGGCCTGGAGTAACCGAGTCCCGTCTCCACATAGCTATATGGCTATATAGACTCTATGGGACACCGAGATGGAGACACTTTGCCAGGCCGGGCAGAAAATCATAATTCAACAAGCGAATGGGAGCGGAGCAAACATGTCGGCAACAATTTTATGCCCGAGTTGGGGGGATTGCAAAGTCAGTTGAGTTGAGTTCAGTTGAGTTCAGTTCAGTTTTGGTTCACTTTAGTCCGTGTTTCGGCTTAGAAGTTTCCGCTTTTAGGGCCGGCGGAGCAACTAAATGCCAGCCGTAAACTTTGGCTTTAGTGCAGTGCATTCCACTTGCCAAATAAAAGGCTACAAAGTGTTTTGTGTTTGCCAGAGCTCCGCCATCCTGGCCTCACTTTACCACTGGGTAACCAGGAAGATTGCGACATCACACATAAACTTTTGGCTAGCGACTCGAGGGCCCAAAGCCCCAGTGACATGGCCAAAAGGATACGGTTGTTGGATTCCGAATGGCTAAGTGGAGAAGTGGAGGAGCGGAGGAGTTGAGGTGGGGGAATAGGCATAGGCAAAAGGAAAAGGCATCAGCATCTTAGCCGTCATCGGCATCCGGTTGCAACTGCCTGGGAAAGCCAAATGTGCCATTTATAATTTAAGCGGGATTAAAGTTTCCTACAATGGCGCTATTTGCTACTTGCTACTTGCTACTTGCCACAGAAACATGCCGCGCTTCGGTAAACTTTTTTTATGTCCCCCAAAAGGAGGAACAAGGATAAAAGGAGATGAAGGAGCAAGGAGCAAGGAGTTTGCCTGCAAATTTGACATCCGCGCCCCAGACATGGCAAAGCGGATTAGGCAAGTGGCCCCGAGACAAGCTCCACGGAGCGTGGCACTTCCCGAGTTCGCTTTCTTCGCGAATCTGCCTCACTTTTTGGGGGCAGCACTCTTAGATTGCCGGCAAAGTGTCAGCAGTCCGGGTTCCCAGATCCCGGATCCCGAATCCCCGTCGATGCCGGAGTTTTATTAACTAGTTTAACTTTAATTAAGTGCCTTTGATTTAGAACGTTAGCCGGGTTTAGGAATATTAAAGCAGCTTGAGTTTAAAGGGCAGATTAAACTTTTATGGCTTGAGTTCTTCTTTTCAAGAGGCTTCTGAATGGCTTTTAGTTTGACATGATGTCCTGGAAAATAAGAAAAAGATTAACTGGCAAAAGTCAAATGCAGAATAAATACACAACAAATATTTCCCTTAAGGCTTCTAAGAATTCTTTACCTAATTTATATTGTTTAAAAATGAAATAAATTCATAGAAATTATTTAGCTACAACTATGTTGAATTCAAAGTCACTTTTTTGGTTTCTTTCCGCAGATAATAACACACAACTGCTCTCGGATACAAAATCTTCTGATAAAAGAGAAATACGACCCCGAATTTGTATCAAATAGAGTGTGAAAGTGCAGTGAATTAAATTAAATTATCGAGGTAGACGGCAACGAAATTCTAACTCACTGGACACCTGGAGGCAAAACAAGTTGCAAAGTTTGTCCCCAGAGCTTTCCGCCGTGAAATTGAAAACCGGAAAGCGGCTAGGCGACTGGTTTTTCATCGGTGTGTCCAAACTGCATTTCCCTTTTGGCAAAGCGCTGGAGATTTCGTAGCAATTGCTGCAGCATTGCCCGCTTTTCCCACCTTTCCCCGCCGCTTTTCCCACGCTTTTCCTCCACTCTTTCCACGGCGAACGTGGATGAGAATGGCAAGACAGAAAAACAAAAGCAGCGAATTGAAAGCAGGGGAAAACAGCAGCAGAGCAGCTGAGGAAAAACAGAAACAGAAAGCAGAAAAGCCGTCGTCGTTGGTGGCAGTGGTGCAATTTCGCAAATTGTCTTGGAAAATGGCGAAAATAGTGAAAATGCTTTCCCAGCAGTCGGCCGCACACACCACAAGCTGGGTGGCGTAAGCGTTGGGAAATGCCGGCGGCAGTTGTTGGATTAATTATGAAAAGTCCCACCCTCGCAGGCCCAAAAGTGGGCCAGGAAAAACCGAGAGGTGGAAAACCAGCAGGAGGAGAAGGTGGAAAGCGAAGGCAGCTGGAGGGGGGGGGGGAAAAATGCAACCTGGCTGATGTTTCGCATTGTTTTTTGGGGGTCAGCAGCTTAATTGTCTGCTAAGTGTCACAGTGCACACGAAAAGTGTGCGGACGGGCCGAGAGTCGAGAGTCAGGCAGGCAGTCAGCTAGTCGCTTAGTTGCAAGTCCTGAATCCTGACACGTGCCACCTGCCACATGCCACCTGCCAGCACCCTTTCTCTCTCTCTCTCCCTCTTTTACGGAAGGCTAATTTGACATGGAATCTCGACTGGGATCCCCGAAAAACAAAAGGCTTTTCAGCAGCACTTTTGACTAATCAAACTTATCGAAAACAGGCCAGGCCACTCAGCCATTCGATGGGCACTCCAAAGTTCAAAGTTTCCAACTCAAAGACCGCATTTCTCGGCCAGCCGGAGCTA